ATAACATTAGTCGTTTTCAGTGTGGCTCAATCAAAACCAAAATAAGTATTATATAAATAATTTAAAATTTGTTTATTTGAGTTCTGGAAACAATAGCATAGCAGTCAAAGGGCCATTTGTTTTTTCAATTATTCAACTACAATATCAACTCTAAAAATAATGTGATGTATTTTGAAACTTGGTAATCCTTCTAATCTAGATAATGAGTTTCCAGTGATCCTCTAACAGTTGGTAAGTGATCCTCGAATAAATATCCAGCGATTCTCCAGCAGGTATCCAATGACCCTCTAGTAATTATCCAGTGAACATTTAATAGGTATCAACACTATCCGGACATCTTTTCGTAGGTATCCAGTGGTCCTCATACTAGGTAGGAATCATTTAGAAGGATCGCTTAATTTTAAAAAAAATCCATGAAACATCCAGATTTCCCCCAGTTGGTTTCCAATATCTTTTCAAATGAAATATTAATGACATTTCTAGCAAGGGAATATATAACTGGCTACAAATCATAATTCTAGCGTTATTGAAACGCAGGTAAAATAGACTAAAGCAACTGATCCTTTGAATAAAAGCACTATAAAATTACTAGTATTTAACTTAACTTTATTTTTTAGCATTTAAAGTATCAATACTCACAGAAAAGATAATGAAGATTGAGTCGAATCTCAGACCAGTGACAGGTGTAGTGAAGTTGGACAGATATGTAACATACAATCTGGATTCAGACTGCACTTGCGATATTGTTACAAAAGCAGGTAAACGACAACCTTATATTTTTCGAAAAAAACACGGATTGAATTTGTGATGCTTGTACGTGTATGATCCAAAGTGGTCCTGAAGGTTCATCACTAAATATCTTTTCAAAAAAGCATCAAAATTAAAACATCGGCTTTTTTGAGAGGCCATTGGTGAAAAATATTAAAAAACACTATGAGTGACAAAAATCATTGATGTGCTCCCAAAGTAAGTTTCTCTTATTAAGTTACTATGCAAACACATATACATGTACATACACGCACGCACTCATATTAAATACATGCACTTAATTTTGAGAGCGTATAGGATACAAAATAATAGATACACAATACAGAGATCCTTTATTAAATGGTAAATGCCTTTCTAGTATTTTCATAAGCCCAGTATTTTTTGCCATATATGGTAAAATGACCAAAACTCTCTTATTTTGTTCCTCATTTTAATTACACTTGATGACACCATTCCCATTGTTTCTCATTTTGATTATACTTGATGACATCATTCTCACGGTTTCTCATTTTGATTATACTTGTTGGAATCATTTCCATTGTTTTTCATTTTGATTATACTTGATGACATCATTCTCACGGTTTCTCATTTTGATCAGACTTGATGACATCATTCCCATTGTTTCTCCTTTAGATTACACTCGATGACTCGATTTAGACTCCACCCGTGTAGCTCAGGTACCTCTCACGCAATAGGTCCCGGATTCGATCCCCGGTTCAGGCAAGACTAAATTTGCTTGTTTGCGTGAAGTACTCCAGGGTTTTTGACTGATAGTCCGCAACTCGTACAAAAGGCTGTGGTGTGTACTTATATGTCTATGTATAAGTGCACATAAAAGAACACATGGCTTCTTCAATGAGGGGTTTCTGGGTCTATCTTCCATGTTAATTACGTATTGCTCACCTTCATTGGTGGTAAACTAAATACAACAACAACAATATTGCTTGTCATTTTGGTTATACTTGATGACATCATTCCTATTGTTTCTCATTTTGATTATACTTGATGACTTCATTTACATTGTTTCTAAATTCGATCAGATTTGATTAAATTCGATAGACTTGATGACATCATTCTCATTGTTTCTCATTCAGATTATACTTGATGACATCATTCCAATTGTTTCAGCTCCAGGTGACAAACCTCTGATCCTCACCATGGCAACCAATGACAGTTTATCAAGCCTGTATTTCGATGACCAGGTCACTGTAATCAAATTAGATAACAAACTACAGAGGAAAATATTGAGAGCCATCAAAAATAACAGATGTCCTAATTGACTCCACACATCCCCAGGTAGATATTTCCTCTTTGAAGATAATGCCAGGATAAAAATAACAGAGACCAATAGGTGGAAAATCTGGCAGAGGTGTTATAATCTTCACAGTCCCATTTTGAGAAGGGCCCTTCATTGGTGTAACCAGGAAGAAAAAAAAGCAACGAAGCGAAAAATATAAAACACCATCAAAATATGAACTTAGTTCGATGATTGCAATATAATACAATGATAACCCTTACATGATTAGAATGTGCACAGATGAATCAAAAAATGATGATTCAAGATTAAAAGTTGATAAAAGATATACAATTAATTCAAAACTCATCATTACTTGAAGAATATTTCTCAAAGGATGTTAAAAAAGCGACAGGTCTCCTCTGCCTGAGACCTCTACCTCATCCTGGTTATGCAATACTTTTTAGTTGTGCCAGCTTTGTCATCCCAATGAGTCAAAAACTTTTTTAGCCTTTTATTTCATTTTGAGATGAATGCTCCCCTTTTTGAATGCTGGATCAAACAATGGTGACATATTAATGTTCGAACTCTAGGTTTTTTTGGTGACCAAAGTTGGAGTCTGTAACAGTAATTAAGACTTTTTCATATGCGATTTTGTCATGTTAATACCTGTATGTTTACCTCCATGCTTGTTCTAAAATTGGAGTTATGACATTTGGTCACAAAAAACCTGGGGTTAGAACATTAATATGTCACCATTGTTTGACTCAGCATTCAAAAAGCAGAGCATAAACTTCAAAAATGCAAACTCCTGTATATATATTTTCAATGAAAACAAAATATGAATGAATTTAATATTTCATATAAATATATTTGATAATAGCTAAATGTACATCTAGACATTGCCTAACATTTGACAACATTACTATCTAAAGCCATAACATTTATTGTAGCAACAATGCATAATTATAGCAATTAGTAGTAAATAATAAAAAATCCTGAATACTACCATGTACAGTAAAACATTAAAATTATTATGACCAGATGTTTTTGCATGCATAGGGAAATAACTTGTACTGTATATAAGCCAGGAATAGTACTCAGCAATATGATATTTTTGCATACATAGGGAAATAACATTGTACTGTATATAAGCCAGGAATAGTACTCAGCAATATGATATTTTTGCATGCATGGGGAAATAACATTGTACTGTATATAAGCCAGGAATAGTACTCAGCAATATGATATTTTTGCATGCATGGGGAAATAACATTGTACTGTATATAAGCCAGGAATAGTACTCAGCAATATGATATTTTTGCATGCATAGGGAAATCACATTGTACTGTATATAAGCCAGGAATAGTACTCAGAAATAAAATTTTTATGACAAGTGACAAGCTTGACAAAATGCTCTTGGCTTCTCTGGCTAGGATACAGGATTACGTAATTTCATTGTTTTGAATGAGATAACCACATATTGAACATTCCAGAACTACATCTTATTGACTTCCATGTTAATGGATTCTTTGGATTGTGAATATCAAAACACATTTAGTCAGTACATAAAATCATGACATATTTATTCACTTAACGTTTTACTGTACAAGTACTTCTATAATGATTAACTGCCAGGCTATCTTATGATCGTGATTATGAAGTCACAAAATAGTTCATCGTCACAGTAATAGACTTGTCTCCAAAAGCCACAAATTTCTGACTTTTTGTAATTCAGAAAAATCAAATTCAAACAGGCTTGAACAATATTCAATATGAGCCTGGGTTGCCATGTTTTTAGAAAAAGTGACGTTTTATAACACTATGTAAGTAAATTAAAAAAATACTGAGTTATAGCAAAATCTGAATGAAATCTTGAGTTTGTACGTTGTTGTGCTACTGGTGACTTCGTAACTAAACTTGTAGCTACCAAAAATCATGCTTATACGTGAGTATATAGTATATATATATACTGAAATATGAATCTTAGTACTCCAAACAAAATTTTGAAAAAACATTTTATCAAAAGTAAAGATTTTATCCTTATTTTGGATATTTACACAGGTATTTAAAAATTTGTGTGGAATACTACATAGAGCTTATAAATATAGATAGGGCACTGTGTTATAACTGTGCCTAGATTTTTTGAATTTTTTCTCATAAAATACAAGGGAATGGATCAGTTAAATGGGGAATGGGAGTAGATTTTCATGCCAAAAGGGTATTCCAGTACAAGTAGGGAGGAGAATGGTGGGGAGAATGAGAACAAATATGGCAGGTAAGAAGGAAGGATAATTGACATATAAACTTTTATGAATTACTTGCAGAAAAGCAAATGTGAAATGTGAGATATAATGGTGAAACACTGTACAGACTGTAGTCTCTTTGGCAAAATTTTGGAAACAAGAACAATATAAATATAAATATGAGTACACAATTGTACTCGATTAATATCAATTGTTACCCTGAATTTAATGTTGTATACCTTTAAGTTTGTCAGATACATTCAAAAAGTGAAATTAAATAAATAAATAGAAAATGCCTTACAATGTTTCTTGTTCTTGATTTCAAAGTGTAAAGCATGTATGGTATACAATACAATACAAATATTTCATTCTATAGACCACTCCAGTAAATCATGTCATTTATTGTTTATGATGTCATTCTTACAGTTTCATGGCAAAAAATTGGCTAATTAACATATTACCACCTTTCAAATAAAAATTTTAGGAACAGTTTTGACCATAAATAAGTAAGTCATGGATTGGCTGATGTAAGGATTTTCCATTTTAAAAATACTAGAATTTTCAAGAGGCCATACAAATGGACCAGAGTACACAAAATATATACAAATTTTAGGGGATGTATCTAGGCAATTTTGGAAACTACAGGCTGTCAAACCATCATGGTTCATTTATTTATGGTCCAAACTTAACATACATTGCAAAGTATGATATCACAAATTTACCTAATATGACCTAGTTTTCACCAATATAGGGCAGGATTTTTTGGAAAGGTCTATCGAAGTGAATATAATAGTAATATAATAATTACATTTATTTCATCAAATTTGAAAAAACATATTTTCTCATAAAACTTACTTTTGATAATATAATGAATTTAAACATTGTCCTTTTACAACACAATATAAATGCTAAGCATAGAATCAATAATGATAATAACAATATATAATATTTCTTTAAAAGTCATAATTATTAATATACATGTGCAATATATTGTTAATAACTTCCACATACTTGGTATGTCATGACCTGCACAGGGTGACACAAAAAATGCAATCCTATATTTTGGAATTCTTTCTTATTTCTTTCTATTGTTTACACGATTTCTAAATCTCTCAAATCGGCAATATTTCTGTTTGTTTCACTGAACACTATTAAAATAGGAAATTAAGAAGATTATTCCAAAATTAGAGGGTTGCATTTTTTTAGGTCACCCTGTATTTTGCAAAGCACAATAGAAAACATTTACACGAATACAAACAATTAGTACTTTATCAACCAAAATCTCATAAAACTATGTCAGTGATGTCATGTTTTATACAAAATACATACGGAAGGACTTCAAATGAAGAAATCACTTATGATAGATCAATACAATAACCATATCTTTGTTAAGGAAGCGACATATACAGTTCATAGGCCAGATTTATGACATCATAGGTTGTATGTAGGGATGTTTACAGGGAATATTTTAAATTTTTTTTATTCTAGCTACAATCCCTTGTGAGTCCTCCCAACCCCCTCCCCAAATACACACAACCTGTTGAGGAAGTAGATAAACCTTAGGGGGGGAGGGGCGGGGGGGGTCCACAGTCTTGAAGTAAGACAGTCTAAAAGTCTTTCAAAACTGGCAATAAAGTAATTCTTTTTGTTCTGAATCATTGTTACCAACAACACAAACAATCTTACCAATCTATCCTGGTTTCCTTTTTCTTGCAAAGGGTGGCAGGGTTTATTGTAAAGATCTACATATTGTAAAGATCTGCCTATTGTAAAGATCTACCAATTGTAAAGATCTACCTATGGCACCATAATTACTTCACATGGGTCGACTTGCAATATGAGACAAGTGGCGGGGGGGGGGCAAAAATTGAGACCCATTCTTTCAAGAATCTCCATTTTAGGCTTAAATACCAAAAATTTGAGACCACGTGTTGGCCTGAGCAACTATCAATTAATTTGTTTTTCCATTAAGAGTCTAATTTGCACCAATATCGTACAAGCACACCGAATGCGTAAACAGTGGCGCTATAGCAACAATGTCATTGTTTTCTTTCAATTATGACATCACATAGTCTGTGATCGCATCACATAGTTAATGATGAAATATATTGTCTTAAATGACATCACTTTTTCATAATGAAATCATCTGGATATTATGACATCAGTCTAATTCAATGATGACATCACTCCAATTCAATGATGACATCTTCCTCCCCCACTGTGTCTCCGGCCTTGAAACATACTTTCTTGATCTGAAACAATATTAAATTTAATTAATATATTCATTCATTGAAATTAATTCGTATGGGTAGGGGCTTGTATTGACAACAGGTATACATGTAGGTTCCAAATCAGCTTATATTTTATAAGGTGTTAGCCTGCAAGGTGTAGATATTCAAGGGTTTTCCAATAGAATCCTCCAAATGAACAGGGAACATCTATATTCTCTATTGTCCATGTCATTATGTTCGATATTGTACATAAAATTATTTCCCATCTACCTGTAATCATGTTAATATGTCACATGATCAATAAAACATCAATTTGGAATGGGACACACTTTGCACACCTTGACACATGTTTTAATAGCTTATGTTATCATATAACTACAACTACAGATGTACATTATTAAGCCTAATATACAATGATTGGGTGATGGTTTAATAAATTGAAAATTGTTTAAACATACGATTCCATCTTTGGCTGCAACTAAACTGTTCTGCATCTTCATCGCTTCGAGTACACAAACCTCCATCCCTTCCGCAACCTAGAAAATTATTTAAGGAATTTATTTTTACTTTTTATTTCTCTTATAGTAGCCTGTATAGATAAAAATTTTGAATCTCAAGAAATCCATAACAATGACAATTTAAATTTATTATTGCAATTCAACAATTTCATACTTGTCAAGTAACTTGAAAAAATAACAAAAATGAAGGTGTATACACTGTATTCTGGATATATATTTTGCACTGAATTGACTTAGTTTAGCCTGACCTTGGAATGCTGTCATAATACTGATTTCTGGATCCAGGCAGAAACAACTTCCCAGATTTGAAGGGTGCAGATTCACCAAAATTCATTTTTGTTATATAATGAACAGTAGATACACAATCTGATTGGTTTAGGGTATTTAACTATTGAATGTTACATACTTGTTGTCCAACTTCCACGGCAACTGATTTGACCAATCCTGGCATGGGTGCCATGACAACGGTGCTCGTATCTATTTCTACTTTCTCAGGCATATACTGCAGCATATCGGCAACATGAGTGTTCAACACGTTTACGCGGAACTGGAAATGTAAACAATTTTAATATCTACTGTCATACATGTAACAGATTAACCTGGGTCCTGAGTTGTATCATATATATCCTCTGAGTCTCAAATGAATACTTAATACTGTATAGTTATTAATGTAAAAAGAAAGCATCATACACAAATTTTTTCTTTTTTCTTGGTGAATGACCCTCTGAGCCTTCACCGCAATGACATTCAAAATAAAACATACCACTGTGCCGAGATATTGCAACTTGACGTCCCCATTTCCTCTATGGGAAATAAACTGTAGGCAGAGATCGTGACCATTGACGTCGGTGTCTATGATAGGATTTGTGAGATTGAAGTTATTCGCGACCTTGAACTTCTCTCCTCCAACTACCACCTGTAAGTTATTTTTAGCATTTATTTCATTTATTGTAATACGACAATATAGTAAATAATTCAAAATATAAAAATAATTTAAAATATAAAGTTGGAAATCCATTGGGGTTTAGTGTCAATGTTGATATGAACTGAAGATCCAACCTTGGCCCACTGTGTCAAAGGAAAAAACCCAAGGCTAAGATTAAATAATACTTGGTTTTAAAGAGTACAACCTTGATCCATAGCCTGCTTACCTCAAAAAAGTCTGATTTATGAGTGACTTTTGCCTCTATATAATGGTCGCCAATACTGGCATTGAGATTCCAAACACGCTGTTCTGTGAACTCTAAAGGATTTCTGAAATCATTAATACATATTTTTCAATTCCATAATATTTTAGATTTATGCACACTGGTAAAGGCTCTGCTGGGGGTGTTCATTGAAATATTAATCATAAGGGGCTATCCATGAATATATCTTTCTGGGGTGTTCATTAAAAATCATTTTTGGCCAATTCAAAAAAATGTAAATAACTACTCATAATATGAATCTAATGGTGAATAGTTATGGCAAATATGGTAAAAAGTCCTAAAAAGTTTACCCTGAATATTTTGTTAATATGAATACAGCACATGTAAACATAACACATTAACAACTGTTTCCCAGCCTCATGCAAAATTTGTTGTCTACATAATCAAAGGTTTCTGGGAACAGACATATGAATCCATGATGATGTACTGTATATTCAAGCTTTTTCTGGCATTTTACGTGAAATCAAAAGTTGCTTGAAAAGCAATGAGCATAGAAATATAATTCAAGCAAAGCCAACATAGTGTTATGTTTTATATGTAATGACAAATATATCTATATACATAAAAAAAACATTTTCCAAAAATAATCCTGTTAAACGGACAATTAACCCTTACGGGTCTAAGAATGAATTAATAATTAACCCTCACCTGTCTAATATGGGGTCTTTTCGTATATGAGTTGTCTGTTGGCCGGCCATTCTAAACATACAAGACACAAAGACTCATGCAACAAGGTCCCATGTCTCAAAACTTGAATAATGAGGGTGGGGACGCACTGCCATCTAGTGACAGTCCTCACCCTCATAATTTCTAATCTTTTTTCGAGAAATGTGACATTGTAAGCTGCAACAAAAGCGCAAGTTATGAGCACATGTTACGAGCACAAGTTATGCTCACATTTTATGATCACAAGTTATGTGCACATGTTATGCGCACATGTTATGAGCACATGTTATGAGAACATGTTATGCTCACATTTTATGATCACAAGTTATGTGCACAAGTTATGAGCACATGTTATGATCACAAGTTATGAACATATGTTATGCGCACAAGTTATGAGCACATGTTATGCTCACATTTTATGATCACAAGTTATGTGTACAAGTTATGAGCACATGTTATGATCACAAGTTATGAACATATGTTATGCGCACAAGTTATGAGCACATGTTATGCTCACATTTTATGATCACAAGTTATGTGCACAAGTTATGAGCACATGTTATGATCACAAGTTATGAACATATGTTATGCGCACAAGTTATGAGCACATGTTATGCGCACATGTTATGCGCACATGTTATGAGCACATGTTATGAGAACATGTTATGCTCACATTTTATGATCACAAGTTATGTGCACAAGTTATGAGCACATGTTATGATCACAAGTTATGAACATATGTTATGCGCACAAGTTATGAGCACTAGTTATGAAGTTAAAGCTTGCAATAAAAATAATTAATGCAATTAGAATATTAAAACAAGGCATAGTATATTACATGAAAAATCGTCACCACCTGGTGCAAATTACAAGTGTAACAATATGTCACAGACTCCTAACCCCAGTCACAAAAATGGTGACTACTGGGTGACCCAAACACGCAACACTCTAATTTAAGAATAACTTTTTCAATAATTGTTTTATTTTCCTGAGTTTTCTTGTGTTGATAGGATGTGCAATGGAGCAAATCATATACTTCATGACTTAAACATTAACAAGACAATTCAGGAATATAACATCATTATGAAGAACATTATTCCAAAATAAGACTTTTACATTTTTGGGTCACCCTGTATTTCCATGTCAGCATTTCTTGGTGGTGACATTAAAATTATATGAGAAAATGTATAGATCCCTGTAACTGTAAGTCTGTAAGAAAAGCTGTAAGAAAAGCAAATGCAACATAAAAAGTAATTTTTTGTAATTTGTAATGCAAAATGTAATGTAGAAGTAGGCAATGATGAATAGAGGCAAGGAAATATGCCAGGAGAATTAAAAATTGATTTTCATAAAAAATAGAAACCAACAAATTGATAGATTGAAAATATTGACAAAATATTTAATTGCATGATGACATTTTTTATAACTAAGAGATGGTTTGAAAATATTTTGTAGGCTATTTCTATGAAGCCTTTAGAGAATTTGCCAAGAGTTCTTCCAGAAATGGGGATCCATTTTTTCTTTATGAAATCCAAGACATTCTATATTGCATTCATTGTCCCTAAGTTAAAGTTAATTTAGAAATATGGTTTTAAAAATTCCCACCTTAAATGTGATTTTTAAGTGGGGTAGTTCCCATATATATAATCCCATGTAACAAAACCATCAAAAGTTAAACATTTGAATACATTTTAAAGAGTGATGCCCCTAAAATCTCTTTCTGTCAAATTTTTGGGGAAGTTTGAATATGTTATGCCATGTTATTTTACCCGACATAGCCACACGGTGGTGAAACCAATGGCAACTAGATAGCTGTACCAATTACACGTGACAGCTGACACGCAGGGTAAAATACAATACAAGGGAACAAATGGCTGTTCTGGTATGATTCCCCATTTTTTCCAATACATAATGTTAAATAAAGAACCTTGTAGAGAATTAAAGAATGCTAGATCTCTGACATATACTCAACTTAAGAACTGTTCTATGTATAATATACTGTTATATGGGCAATAGTATAGATATTGTTGCAAATATTGATGTCTAAAGGCAAAATTAATCAATATGCAACAATAGTATATCCGCACATGCTGCCGTTGTGTTATACCGTATCTCAGGTAAATTTACCTGCGCATCAGCCGTACCAATAAAAAATTATGCTTAGTGCAAACCTAACCATACTTGACTGGAAGTGTACATGTATTCTAAATTGGGAGAAATTATAGAAGGTGACTTAAACTATTAACCTTGTCATTGAAATGAGGAAAAGAGAAATGATGTGGGAGATGCAGAAAAACAGCAACTTAAGGTGAATATGAAATCCACTGCCAAGTTCACTGTTTAGGATGTTGATATGGACTTTTACATATAAAAATATCTAGAAACTAGACCAGATCTTTCTAAAACAAAAAGATCAATTTGTTCCAATTTCATCACCCTCGTGATGTACCTTACCCCGCACATTCAACTGTCACGCGTAATTTGGTAGAGTCCCTGGGAAAACTGAAATAAGAAAATGATAACTGAAATTTCAATGCTAAAAGCTCTTACTGAAATGAGATTTAATTTCTTTTTTCTTTATAAAACACCCGGTGAATGGGTGTTAAACAAAAAACATTCATGCAACAAACATACATGGACTACAATAGAGCTTTCCAATAAATCCTGCCACCTTTTGGTCACCAAGAGAACCAGGGCATATTGGCCATTTTTATAATGTCAAATGTTGCAGGTATAAATGTTCACAAATTCAAAGTAGTAAATGCAATAAGTTTATTCAGTGAAACCTGTAAAGTGGAACACCTCTGTTAATGGAACACTTTTTAGAGTCCCAAGACCACCTGACTTCATGTTAAATGGACCTCTATAAGTGGAACACCTCTGTTAGTGGAACACTTTTCAGAGTCCCAAGACCACCTGACTTCATGTTAAATGGGCCTCTATAAGTGGAACACCTCTGTTAGTGGAACACTTTTCAGAGTCCCAAGACCACCTGGCTTATGTTAAATGGGCCTCTATAAGTGGAACACCTCTGTTAGTGGAACACTTTTCAGAGTCCAAAGACCAATTGACTTAATATTAAATGAACCTTTACAAAGGGAAGACTTTATAGAGGTATCAAAGTTGTTTCACTTAGCCAGGTTTTACTATACTAATTCCGTTTCAAAACAGCGCCACCTAATAAGACATATTGTGGTTTCTTTTGTGCACCAAAAATGGCAGAGTTAATTGAAAGGACTATTACTTTCACATTCATGCTAGCAAGAACGTTTAGCTGCTATTTATGACTATTGAAGGAGCATTTTCTGTTTCCATTAGTTATTTTTGGCACTACAATCATTGTCTGGAGACATGTGTCATGAACCTTATTATGGGTTCTTGACTTCGAAGTCCTAATTTCTTCTCCATAGGCCTTAAATAATTGGTGCTGAATTATGTCGCATTTCAGTTTTGGAAAAAAAAGAATCTAAGCCAATATTTAGATCCATTGGTTTCATGTATTTAGATCCATTGGTTTTTTGTATTTAGATCCATTGGTTTTATGTTATGTATTTAGATCCATTGGTTGTATGTTATGTATTTAGATCCATTGGTTTTATGTTATGTATTTAGATCCATTGGTTTCATGTATTTAGATCCATTGGTTTTTTGTATTTAGATCCATTGGTTTTATGTTATGTATTTAGATCCATTGGTTTTATGTTATTTATTTAGATCCATTGGTTTTATGTTAAGATTAGTAGCTTTTCAACTGCTGTGTGTTCTGTAAACCAGTATTAACCCTTTCCCGACATGAATGTAAGAGGAAAATATTGGCCTGGTGACGGATAGGTAAGAGCGTTTTTTAGGTAAAACTGGAAATGATGTATACCTGGGACCTATACTTTAAATTTCATCACTAAAATACAATTTTTAATAAGCATTATCATATGTCAACAACTTGTCAAAAGGTGTAAAAATACTGAATAGAACTTGAGATATTGCCATTTCATTGATGTATGTAAATAAAAATAGTGGTGCCAAAAGGACCATATCGTCTTGGAAGGTATTACATAGTAGGGCTCCATATGGAGCCCATCGTCAAGAAAGGGTTAAGAGCCTGTTTAATGAGTAAAATTACTTTTTTCCCACTTGAACTAGGTCTTAAGCCCCATGACCCTGTATTTGTATTTGAACCCCTTTCATGTTTTTAATTCTGACCTCAATTCATTTGTAAAGGACCTCTGTCCCTGGTCTAGGCCCCATGGCCCTGTATTTGTATTTGAGCCCCTTTTATATTTTTAATTCTGACCTCAGTTCATTCGTAAAGGACCTCTGTCGGATTTCATCTTTCACATGGACACAACAGGCAATAGCTGCAAGGTTGTAAGACTCTGTTTGGGATAGTGTCTTGCCTAAAAATACACAGAAAAACTTTCCTTATTCTGCAACTTTACGTTTAATATTTTGAATCTATCAGTTCAATTGAAATACATCACATTGATATTGTTAGATAAAAATACTACAATTTATGTTCCTCCTTTTAGGTTCTAGTTTTGTACAGAATCAAGTTTTAACAATATTTATTGTTTATTCTTATTTATTTTTTGTTTATTTTTATTTATTTATTGTTTATTTTTATTTATTTATTGTTTATTTTTTATTTATTTTTCTATTGCTTATTTTTTATTTATTTATTTATTGTTTATTTTTTATTTATTTATTTATTTATTGTTTATTTTTTATTTATTTTTATTTATTGTTCTAAGTGATATTACATACCCTGGAAGCCCTCTGGATATACTTCTGGTAAATAGTTGGTACTAATATTCCCCGACACAAATCTCTCTTCTGTGACAATATCTCTTAGAAGTGGAATATTATGAGTAACACCTATAAGACAAAAGCGAACATTATACAATGTACACTTAATATAGAAAAAATGTTTCATCTACTAGTACTTATGCGGTATTAGGGGTTTGTTTCCTATAAGACAAAAGTGAACATTATACAATGTACACTTAATATAGAAAAAATGTTTCATCTACTCGTGCGGTATTAGGGGCTAGGTTCCTATAAGACAAAAGTGAACATTATACAATGTACACTTAATATAGAAAAAATGTTTCATCTACTCGTGCGGTATTAGGGGCTAGGTTCCTATAAGACAAAAGTGAACATTATACAATGTACACTTAATATAGAAAAAATGTTTCATCTACTCGTGCGGTATTAGGGGCTAGGTTCCTATAAGACAAAAGTGAACATTATACAATGTACACTTAATATAGAAAAAATGTTTCATCTACTCATGCGGTATTAGGGGCTAGGTTCCTATAAGACAAAAGTGAACATTATACAATGTACACTTAATATAGAAAAAATGTTTCATCTACTCATGCGGTATTAGGGACTAGGTTCCTATAAGACAAAAGTGAACATTATACAATGTACACTTAATATAGAAAAAATGTTTCATCTACTAGTACAACATACAATATATATACAGATGATGTTTTACCGACTTATATGGTATTGATAGGGGTAAAAATTTTAAGGAATGTCACACACAGGACGTGACTTTTTGAACAAATTATGCTTTGCCATGCCATTATAAATCAATGTAATATATAGAAGATGCTTCACCTACTTACATGGGACCACTAGGGGCAAAAATGACTTTTTGAACAAATTATACTTTGCCATGCCATTATAAATAAATCAATGCAATACTTGTACTAGAAGATGTTACTATTTACATGGGACAAGTAGAGGCAAAAGTTCTTGCTTGGGAATGTCATTGAAGGTAACTTAATTTTGAACTAAATTTTTGTTTAGCCATGCCATGATAAATCAATGTAAAATTTGGCTAGAAATGTCTAACAATGCAGGTTTTGTTGTGTTGAATTAGGGCTAACCGTTGAAATAAATTAATATCATGAGTTCTAATCGTACCTCTGATGACATATCTATCAAGTGCATCAGTCATTGTGTCAAGTGCTTCCTGTCTTGTGTTTCCCCATGTCACCAACTGAAATATGACATCATAATTAAAATATGACATCATAAATAAAATATGAATTACAAAATATGACACTAAAGATATGACATCATTATTAAAATATGACATTGCAATTGTAATTTCATATTGCCTCTGATTAATTTCCCTTGTAAATATGATATTATAGAGAGAACACCATTTCAAAACACACTACAGGATCGCTTATTTGACTCTTGCTAAATTACCATTGCGGCCCATCCCCTTTAATATTCACTTGCAGATTAGTATATATGGGGAAGGGGATCCAGAGGCTTAAAACAATACCACATACCTTACAAATCATAGCCATTTTAAAACAAACTTAACCATATTTCAAAGTCTTGTTAAGCCGTTGCAACTCTCTCTCAAACATCCCCCTGAAGATAAGTGAGGGGGACCAAGAGGCTTAAAGCAAAACCACATACCTTACAGATCATAGCCATTTTAAAACAAACTATAGCATATTTCAAAGTCTTGTTAAGCCCTTACAACCCTCTCTCAAACATCCCCCTGAAGATATGTGAGGGGGACCAAGAGGCTTAAAGCAGTACCACATATATAGATCATAGGCATTTTAAAACAAACTATAGCATATTTCAAAGTTTGTTAAGCCCTTACAACCCTCTCTCAAACATCCCCCTGAAGATAAGTGAGGGGGACCAAGAGGCTTAAAGCAGTACCACATATATAGATCATAGGCATTTTAAAACAAACTATAGCATATTTCAAAGTCTTGTTAAGCCTTTACAACCCTCTCTCAGACATCCCCCTGAAGATAAGTGAGGGGGACCAAGAGGCTTAAAACAATACCACATACCTTACAGATCATAGCGTCGTAATAAATACTGATCTCACTTCCCTCTCGTATCCCACTGTCACAACGAACCTGGAACAAACAAAGGAATAATGTCATGGTGCTTATATTTGAAATGCAAAATGGAGTGAAAAAGAGTGGAATTAGCAAGGAATAAAATAAACAGGCATGAAGACAACATTCTAAATTGTATAGAAATGTCAAGAAATCAGACATTTTATTCAAATTTTAGTGAGAAATGAGTGAAATCAGCAAAGAATAAAGTAAACAGGCTTGTAGTCAACACTCTAAATTGTATAGAAATGTCAAAAATCAGACATTTTATTCAAATTTTAGTGAAAAATGACTGAAATCAGCAAGGAATAAAGTAAACAGGCTTGTAGTCAACACTCTAAATTGTATAGAAATGCAAGAAAATCAGACACTTCATTCAAATTTTAGCGAGAAATCTAGTGAAATCAACAAGGAATAAACTAAACAGACATGTAGTTAACACTCTAAATTGTATAGAAATGCAAGAATACCAGGCAGTTCATTCAAAAATTAGAGAGAAAAAGTGTAATTCGCTGAAAAAATATGAGATTTCTAAGCAGACGACACATACCCTCTCTAGACCCTCTGGCTCTATGTATCTGTTAAGTCTACCAACAGATGGCAGCCCAAAGTTCTTTGTAGGATCCTCTGCATATACACGACATTCAAATGACCAACCATTTACTCCAATATCGTCTTGAGTCAACAGCAACTTATGACCTGTTCATATGAATACAGAAGAAATATGGTCATAATAGGGTGGTTGAGCTTAAGGTCAAGATTGTACATGAATAAGAAGTCATGAGATTAATGTTCCCTCTCAATTAGTTTTCCAAGGGGCCTTATAAAACCCATTTTCCCTTACTCCTTTATATTCTACATTTTCTGGTCTGTAAAAAACAAAAAAACCTGATATAAGTAAAGAGACTAAAGACAAAAATGTGTTCATGAATCCCATGTCTAAACAGAGGACAGTAATTTTAGAAGCATCATACCTTTAGCAGAGCGTAACATCTGGTGCACTAAATCAACTCCCGTGATACATTCTGTAATGGGATGTTCCACTTGTAGTCTCGTATTCATCTCCAGAAAATAAAAGTTTTTTTGAGAATCAACGAGGAACTCGACAGTTCCTGCACTGGAGTAACCAACGGCCTTAGCTAGAGAAACTGCCTGCTCTCCCATTGCAATTCTCATAGCAGGGTCAACAAATGTACTGAAATATGCAGATGTATTCATGCAAAAAATAAACATTCAGCAGTGAGACACTTTGAGACACTATAAATAGCTTACAGTAATGGCATCTTACTACCTAAAATAACACTATTTCTACCTCAAAAGAACACTATTTCTACCTTGGGGCCTCCTCTATAACTTTCTGGTTTCTCCTTTGAATGGAGCACTCTCTTTCATTGCAGTAAATACCATTTCCATGTTGGTCACATAGAACCTGAAAAGAACAAACGGGAATTCCATAATAATTAGTAATTGACTATAAACAGTAATTATTGAACAGTCACTCCATTAAAAACAGCAATTCATTATAAAAACAGCAATTCATTTAATACAGTTATTCAATTAATAAATAATTTTTTGTTAATCCATGAATCTATACCAGTTCTTCAATGTGTCATGAATGCATACCTGTACTTCAATGTGACATGAATATTGACCAGTATTTCAATGTGTCCTGCATATATGCCTGTACTTCAATGTGTCATGAATATTGACCAGTATTTCAATGTGTCTTGAATGCATACCTGTACTTCAATGTGACATGAATATTGACCAGTATTTCAATGTGACATGCATATATGCCTGTAATTCAGTGTGTCATGAATATTGACCAGTAATTCAATGTGTCATGAATGCATACCTGTACTTCAATGTGACATGAATATTGACCAGTATTTCAATGTGCCATGCATATATGCCTGTAATTCAATGTGTCATGAATATTGACCAGTAATTCAATGTGTCATGAATGCATACCTGTACTTCAATGTGACATAAATATTGATAAGTATTTCAATGTGCCATGCATATATGCCTGTACTTCAATGTGTCATGAATATTGACCTGTATTTCAATGTGTAATGAATGCATACCTGTACTTCAATGTGTCATGAATATTGACCAGTATTTCAATGTGTCCTGCATATATGCCTGTACTCCAATGTGTCATGAATATTGACCAGTATTTCAATGTGTCATGAATGCATACCTGTACTTCAATGTGACATGAATATTGACCAGTATTTCAATGTGCCATGCATATATGCCTGTAATTCAATGTGTCATGAATATTGACCAGTATTTCAATGTGTCATGAATGCATACCTGTACTTCAATGTGACATAATTATTGATAAGTATTTCAATGTGCCATGAATGCATACCTGTACTTCAATGTGACATGATTATTGATAAGTATTTCAATGTGCCATGCATATATGCCTGTACTCCAATGTGTCATGAATATTGACCAGTATTTCAATGTGTCATGAATGCATACCTGTACTTCAATGTGTCTTGGGTTGTCAATGTACTTTTCTATGAGTAGTCTGTCATCTCCAAAACTTGAGGCAGCTTCTCCTTTAGATAAACGGTATGCATCCCTGGAGTCACAAATAATTCAAACTTTTACGCATATTTTAAAAAAGTTTATTATTTTATAGATGGCATCATTTACTTTTTTGTATGTATGAAATACATAATTATACACCTCCAGGGCATATGCTGTCATATGTATGGCAAAATAGGTGATTTTGAAATATTTTTAGTTCTGTATGATTCTTTCATTTTCACAATTTCACTGTACTAACTAATTGATTATGCTATATTATAATTTACAAAGCTTATATTGGATGACTTTGCTTGATGAAGAACAAAGATACATTTTGTGAAGTTTCAAAATAACGTAACTTTTCACATTTTCACATATGTCATTTCTCTACCAATAGACAGACTGTAGACTCTCCCCATTAAAAGGGATGGTAGAAATGGAAGGCCAAATTTGTTGTTAATCACATTGTTTCCTGGTCATTCCAGGCCACTTTCATCCCTTCATCCGCATCACTTACCATCCCCTTTCCCATAGAAAGTGAGGGGAGATATGTGGTGTAGAACTTATTGACCCCCTTGATTGAAACTCACCTTGTTTCCTGGTCATTCCAGGCCACTTTCATTCCTTCATCCGCATCACTTGCCATCCCCCAAGTGAGGGGAGATATTTAGTTTAGAACTGAATGTCCCTTTTATCCCCACACCACCCTCTTCCCATAGAAAGGGATTGTACACTGTAGATATGTTAACAAATTAACCTACCTTGTTTCCTGGTCATTCCAGGCCACTTTCATCCCTTCATCCGCATCACTTGCCATCCCCCAAGTGAGGGGAGATATTTAGTTTAGAACTGAATGTCCCTTTTATCCCCACACCACCCTCTTCCCATAGAAAGGGATTGTACACTGTAGATATGTTAACAAATTAACCTACCTTGTTTCCTGGTCATTCCAGGCCACTCTCATTCCTTAACCTCCACCACTTGTAGCCTGCCTTTCCCACATCATCCCCTTCCCATAGAAAGGGATTGTACACTGTAGATATGTTAACAAATTAACCTACCTCGTTTCCTGGTCATTCCAGGCCACTCTCATTCCTTTACCCCCACCACCAGCAGAAGCCTTCACCATTACAGGGTAACCTACAACCAAACAAGGGAGGTTTTAGATAAGCGGTATATCCTGAGGGACATTTAACTATCTTCCAAAGGGCCCAGAGACTTGGATGTAAGTTTCAAAAATTGGTTAATATTAGTTCTTCAATGATTCAATTAAAATTCAAATATTGTGCCAAAGAAAATTGGTATTTCAAGAGAATAGCTGAGTGATATACCTCTAGCTCTTTCAAGTGCACAATACTTTCTGTTCTGACTCAAAATCATTGAATAACAATTTTATTCAATGATGTTACTGAGCATATTCAATGTTTTGAATATTTTTATACAGAAAATGATGACTTGAACTTCAAAGAGTGTTATATTTTAATTTTGTTCCTTAATTACAATAGCTTTGAAATTTATGACAAAGGACGATTCTCGGTTTGGAGAACGAAGTTCGTCAATCTAAATGAGCATTATCCCTGCTTCGGACAAATTTGATTTTTTTACATAATATAGATTTGAATGTCTTCTTTTGAATAGACATAATTTAATTTGGGTAATATTTCTAGATTTTTCGCAAACAAATATTAGCGCAGTACACTGATGAACTTCTTTCCCCAAATCGAGACTTGTATTTTATTGAATCGGTCTAATTGAGCGTTATCCCTGCTTCGGACCAATTTGTTATTTTTACATCTTGTAGATTTAAATGTCCTCTTTTGAATATTCATAGTTTAATTTGGGTAATATTTCTATATTTTTCATGAAAAAAAGTATTAGCCCAGGAGACTGTTCTCCAAACCGAGAATCGTCCTTTGAATTTTATAGCCAATAATCAAACATCAAAAAAGATTTGTAAATACTAGTATTCATACAAGAGCATCGAGTCTCAAATGATTGCGAACAGACAAAATTAGTCGACTTTATTAAACGAACTCGAACCCCCCCCCCTGTGTGATTTTTTTCAATTCACCAAACACAAACAGCCTATGATAAGTGATCCAAAATGGGACTTCCAGTTGCCAAACTTATGAGGAGGGGTGTATTTTACCTATATCATTAGCCAGTTTCACTGCATGATCAGGATCAGTCACGACTCCATCAAATCCTGGGATGCAGTTGACCTTAGCTTCATTAGCGATCTTCTTACTCATTATCTTATCTCCCATAGCTTGAATAGCTTTGCTGTTTGGCCCGATGAATGCCACTCCATTTTCAGCCTAAAATGAATGAATAAACAAAACACACGTTTTTAATTCATATATAATTAATACTTAAGACTAGCCATAATTTTTCTTATTTACATGTTCTGTTTTATTCTTTTGACTGAGATGTGAAGCTTAAATTCATTGACATCAGACTTTTCATTCATCAAAGAATACAAATCTATTAAAAAAGTAGATAAAAACAGGCTGCAGCCAAGAATCATAGTTTTCACATTTTGAGCACCTTTCAAGTGATTTTGAGAGAAAATTGTCAATTCAGCCCCAAGAAAAAATGAATGCCACAAAAAAACTACATAATTTGTTGATCAAAAAAATGATGCCATACAGCATGGGCTTTCAACTAGAAGGGTAGGCAACTTCCCATATTTCATACATAAACATTGCCATGGGTTTTCAAAATTGGAGAATGTACACATTTCAAGAAAATCTTATTTTGTACTTTTTATTGATGATTAAAAGAAATAACTCAAAAATAAAAACATGATCTTCTACATACATCTTGATAATTTAATAAAAATTGGAATTCATCCTAATTATGACAATACAGAAAGTGAACATTCTCCCACAAATTATCTTTTTATTGGAATGTGTTCTTGAATAATTACCCACAATGCAATACTCAAAGAGAACATCTTGATAACTCTTATTCTTATTGGTCTCTTTTGTTTACTTTTATATGATATTGAATATATTTTATGCTTAAATCATATTAAAAATTGATTTTTATTCAAAATAATACTAAAACATATACATTTATCTAATACTTTTTGAAATATTGCCATAAAAGGGAAGCATGTCATTGCTCATTTTGAAGGTCTCATGTTATTACATAGAGTTGCATACCCTTCTAGTTGAAAGCCCATGCATACAGTCATCTCTCTGATCATATACAAAAATGTTTTTCAAGCTCTTACCAGTTTAGCTGCAAATTCTGTATTTTCAGAGAGGAAACCATACCCAGGGTGCACTGCTTGGGCCCCCGTAGCTTTCACAGCCTCCAGGATGCGATCCATGCGTAAATAACTCTGCGCGCTGGCTGCTGGTCCAATACATACTGCCTCATCTGCTAGCTTTACATGTTTCTGTAATAAATATGAAATACGTAAATAACTTTCTGCTATGGCCAAAAACACATTGCCTCATCTGCTAGCTTTACATGCTTCTGTAATAAACATAAAATACGTAAATAACTCTTCCCACTGGCAAAAAATAAAGTGCATCATCTGCTAGCTTTACACTTTCTGTAATGAGTATAAAATATGTGAATAACTCTCTGAACTAGCTGTTTTTCTATCACTAGTAGTAATTCCCTGAAGATGATTAATTGCACTTTTTTGTTCAGCTATAATAGCAGTACATGTACATCCTTTTTTATTTATTAATAAAAAAAGAAAAAAGTACTTACTGCATTTGAATCCACTTCACTATGCACAGCCACTGACTTGATACCCAACCTGCGACAGCTCTGTATTACACGGCATGCTATCTCACCACGGTTTGCAATAAGGACTTTGTCAAATTTCTAAAACAAAATAATTTTCTTCACAGGATTTTTCAAGAGGTAAAAATATGCCTTTCCATGATTTTTTATTTTCAAATGGATTATCAGAATTTACTAATCCATGATATAACAAGGCATTAATATGACAAAATGTCACTACATTTTAAGTTATTGCAAATTGTTACGTTAAAAACTTTGAATGGTGGTGACATAAATCACTTCTGGTGGTGACATAAAAACTAATATTGACACCACCACAAAAAGAGAACAAATAGGATTTATAAAAAGCTGAATTAAAGATCTACTTACAGACTCATTCGGATCATGCTTGTCATTAAAATAGTATTCTCTGTAGAGTTTCGGTGATGTAGAGAGAGAGCGACAGTTGTTTATAGTCTGAAAGCAAAGAAAACATTTGGGTTTAAATTAGGGATTGAAATCTGTGTTTGTTTATTTAGTGCCAAGAAAGACCATCTCACAATAGGGAATTCACAATAACAATACCACGATCATGGTAGAATCCTTGCGAAACTTACAAACACTTAATAACATGGTGACGGTTGTGGGGCATTACCTTCTTCTAAGGCCACTGTAACGTGGCCTTCCAGTACAGATATATTCCTGCATGAACAACTGGTCATGTCGTAATCATAAAATTTGAAATCATATGTCCGCCATTTTTCCACATCACAATTTGAATTGCGAGTTTTGGTCTTATTACCTCACCAAAAATTCCAAAACACACATGAAGTGATCAGTGTATTAGTTCACATCTTCTGGATTGCTAACTTAGAATTTACAACCAGTTACTAATGTCAGACGTTATCGACATATCGTCCAGTTTTTGAACATCGCAATTTTTCTTGGAGCCATTTTGTTTTACGTAAAGGCTAGACTCTAGACTCTGATGTGGTGGCACGCTAGAGGACCGACAAATAAATTGTCGGTATGGAAGATATGCTGTTTTTACACGCTACACCGACAAATAATATTTTTGATTTTCGAATTTTCTGGCGCATGCGCAATGCGAGGGAGGATATTTCAGATATCATACGGATATTTTGGGAACAAGTGCAAAACCCGGGGAGGGCATTAGCCCTGGTTACCCGGGAATTACCAAACCCAGTCAAAAATTGGTAGCCCGGGAACAGGGAATGGTAGTAAACGTTGAAAACGCAATAAAAAACATGAAAAATAAGACGTGAGAGAGCTATTAATGCAGAGTTAACGGCTATATATATTCTAAACAGACTGGATATTTCTCCTGAGTTAATGGCCACGATTCCATCTGGCATGAGAGAGCTACCAAACGCAAAGTAAACAGTGATATATTCCAAATGAGATATTTCTCCTGTGCCTTGGCGTAGCAAGGGTAGAGAGCGACGGGGGGAACGCATCCCCTCCCCTATAAAGCTAACTGTACATATCAGCGACCCATTAGATAGAACAAGAAAAGAGCTTTAAAATGTTTTTTAATTGAAGCTTGTAGGACAATTTTGATGGAAGTTGAATCAATTTTTGTTGAAATAAATTATGGCTCACTATAAGTTAATGCCTGTACGATTCCATACTGCAAAAGAAGCACTATGCCCCCCCCCTCAAAAGAAAAAAATAGGTCCTTCAGGGATGCGAACTCAGGCCCGGGTGTGTTCGAGTCGTGCTCGCTAACCACTAGGCTACCAGTGAAGAGGCTATTGCTGAAGGTAAAAGTAGTGGATTTATTAATGAAATTGTCGGCTCTCTAGCAAAAACACGTAGGAGCCACTTGCGTACCGACGGTTCTCTATCTGGCACTACTAGGTGACGATAGAGTGCCGACAATTGTCGGTACCCCAGCAAATACCCCTGGACAGTCTCCAGTACCGACAATTGTCGGTCCTGGAGCCACTCAGTTTGTTTTAATTTTAGACGAAATCCTGATGAAATCATGTCATATCTCATAAAGGAGCCGAGCTGGGTCCGGTTTGATTAATGATTTATTTATCTGGCGATTTTTAAAATATTCAATAAATTTATGACACCACGGCCAGCTTTTTTCAAATAGAGTTCACAGTATTCCAGATGAAATCCCCTCTAGCCAAGCAATTCAAATTGTAATGTGAAAAAATGGCGGACATATGATTTCAAATTTTATGATTTCGACATGACCAGTTGTTCATGCGGGAATATATCTGTACTGGAAGGCCACGATACAGTGGCCTTAGAAGAAGGTAACTCGAGTGAGGTTACTTCCTGCGAAAGCTATTGAATTTTGATATAATAGCTTTCCCACGGAGCATTTGGACAGCTCAATGATTGTGACCTTTGAAATCGAATTAAGTCGATCCGCGGCTTACTTTTGGTCTCTAACTGTGTCTTACATCAGTATCATCAATCCGTGTAAGTATCGAGCGCTGGAGTACTTCTTTTTCGATCAAGACTTGTAATTGTTAGTCGAGTGAATCGTTTTACTGCCAAATTCCAATATGGCGGTTTCTGCTCGGACATTTTCGTAAATCTCCAGAGGTTGTCCGAACCTAACTAATTCTCAGAATTCATTTCGTTCGTTGCGTATCTCGCTCCTAGCAAACCGCCATATTGGAAATAGGTCTAAAAAACGTTCACTCGATGAACAATTTACAAGTCTTGATCGAAAAAGAAGTACTCCAGCGCTCCAATACTTACACGGATTGATGATACTGATGTAAGACACAGTTAGAGACCAAAAGTAAGCCGCGGATCGACTTAATTCGATTTCAAAGGTCACTATTGATGAGCTGTTCACTTCTCCGTTTGAGAGCCATAAGTTTCAAAATCTAACATGGCTCTCGAAGTGAGTAAGAGTGAGGCATAACAGATAGGGATTTATAAAGACCCTATTTGTTGTTACAGGTTGTACCATAGATAGCATGTGCTTCATTACATTTGATGTAAGTCAGAACTCCAAAGAGTCTAAGTCAACTCATTGTCTAGCCTTGAAAATAAAAACACACTCAACAACATCACACTCAACCCCCCCCCCCCCTTCCACAAATTTGGCATTTGTTTTGAACACAGGTCACCGGCTCGAAGGTCAGCCAAAATTAAATTATTGAAGTATCAATAACGTCATGCATAGTGAACCGATTTCATTAAAATTTACTTCAAGTTATAGCCAATATACTCCGATATAATTTGACAATATTGTCACCTGTCTTTGAAAGTTGCTTGCTGCAAATTTTAGGCGTAGAGTGAGGGTCGGGGACACTCTGATGAAGGTCGTCGCCATCTTGGAAATGAAGTATCGCGCATGGTATCGCGAGAATATTGGAGACTAGATCCTGAATATAGTCCTTCGTAGTTTAGGTTTTCTTGATATTATTGTCACATTATAAGGCATGAAAATCATCTAAGCAAATAACTTACATATCCAATTACTTGAAATAATTCCATTTATTTATGTTCGATGCTCAAATTTATAATATTCTTATCTTGATACAAACTACTTCCTTAAATATCTCTCCGCGTCGGAGAAAAAAATAAATTGAAAATTTATGCCTTCAACATTTTCTAAAAATATACTACTTTACCACGATAATTTTTTAAATGAACTGAACCTATGCGTGCATGTAACTACATACTTCATGCAGTTGTATGTAAGTATACATTTTTATTTGCAAATAATGTATTTTAATTGAATTAAAAATGACTTGCTGATTCGGCGCCATTTTGGTTGGTTTTCAATAATTTTGGCATTGTTTCTTTTTTGTTTACACTAATTTTTGTTAGACGTGCATCGTATCTTATGCCTCTGAGAGCCAAGATATCCTGTGCAAAAATCATGTCTATATACAATCAAGCGACTTGTTCGTTGATAAATGCATCTACCCAAGGTGAAAACACCTGTCATTTTGTGGCAAATTCCTGCTAAATGATGTCATCAACAATAGTTTTGATTATGAAAGTCATAATGGGTTTACCTTTAGAGTCAAGGTCTTCTACTTGTTCAAGATCAGTTGTCAACAAAAAGTAAAGTCAGTTATTCATGGGCATTCCTGAAAGGCATTCCTCTGAAAACCTGCTTCACTGAAGGTCAAACGCAATACCAGGAAAGAAGGCCTACCAATCAGAGGTTTTTGAGAGCATTCGATCAGTCACCAAATGTGAATATATTTCGCTCTTTGTGACCATCATGAGAAATCTATGGGTCCTTTTTGCGAGTAACACACTAAGATTTTTGCTTTACTTTACCTCAAATAAGTGCAGAGTTTGGGTTCCAGTTTCTTTTTTTCTCATCATCGCTCAACAAGTAAATGTAAAGGTCAGACATGATTGGCTGAAAGTATTTTGCCTTGACTTCAACCAACCTGAATTGAAAAAATTAATACTAAATTGTTCTGAATGTTTTTATTGAATTGCAGAAGAGCGCATATTTGGACACAAAATGTTACTTTTCTGCATGCAGAATTTGGCACAGAATTTTGTATTTCACGCAGAATTTGACTTTTTCTCATGCCGTAAACTAGAAACTTTTACAGGTTTAAACCATATCCGTCATATCCGATTTAAATATGCAGAAATACTGATAAACCACTTGACTGATTGATTTGACATTTTCAGGGATTTCTATGATAATCTAGACTGATTAATGTTTAGGGTTAATTGTGGAATTGTAAGTCACATATTCCAAGAAACAATATGATTCACAATGTGCTAAATTTTCTTAATATTGCACCAGGTGTCTCACTCCTGATGAAGTCGCACTAGTTGGAGGAACTTGATATATTGTAAGTCACATATTCCAAGAAACAATATTATTCACAATGTGCTTTGTTCTAAATATTACTCCAGGTGTCTCACTCCTGATGAAGTCACACTAGTTGGAGGAACTTGATATATTGGTACAAACGATGACTATTGTAATGAGAGAATCCCCTGCTGAGGGGGAACAAGGGGGTGACAGCCCAAACCCTGCAGATACCCCTGCCCAACCACAAGGCCCACAGCCAGTCCAACATGATGAAGGTAAGATAAAACATAGATTAAAGGCCCTATGTTAAGTTTGCAAATTTTGAACAGCCAGTGCAACACGATGAAGGTAAGATAAACATAGATTAGAGCCCCATGTTAAGTTTGCAAATTTTTATCATTTCATTAGGATAAGACAGAACATAGATTAAAGGCCCCGAGCAAAGTTTTTTTTTTCAAATATTTGATGAAAATAAGAAAGGGCATAGAGTACATGGAGTAAAAGCTCAGTGCAAAAGTTGAAAAATTCCATTCAAATACTGTTTGATTAGGTAAAACGTGGCATATCAAAGACCCCATGCAAAGTATGAAAATTGTTTTATCATACAGATACTATTTTATAAGGGTAAGACGGACCATAGATTAAAAGTCCCATGCGAAGTCAGAATTCATTCAAATACTGTTTGATGAAAGTTAGAAACAGAAGATTAAAAGCTCGATGCAAAGTTTGAAAGAAAATTATTCATATACTGTTTGATGAGTGTTAAACATAGCATAGGTTAAAGGCCCTATGCAAAGTTTGAGAGAAAATTATTCATATACTGTTTGATGAATGTTAAACACAGCATTGGTTAAAGGCCCTATGCAAAGTTTGAAAATATTTATTTATGCAAATATTTGATAATGCTATGACATCGATGTATTAAAAACTCCATTTAAAGCTAGAAAACAATTTTTATCATTCACATACTACTTGGTTCTTTTCATCCCTGACTAATTAATGCTAACCTGAAAAATTGAAATAGTTATTTGTAAAACTTCATTCTTTAAAATAAACAATTAAAAGTCAAATATATTTTATTTATGCGAAATCAAATTGGGAAAAACAACATTTTATACAGTACAAAAGGATTTTAAGAAAAAACAAACTTTGTAGGTCTTGGAGATGAAGAACAAACAGAGGAGGGTGCAATCCCAGAATTCCCTTACAATGAGCTATCTAAACTAGAGGAAATGATCAACCGACCTAGGTGGGTCGTACCTGTCTTACCAAAGGGTGAACTAGAGGTCCTCCTTGAAGCGGCTATAGACCTCTGCAAGAAAGGTATGTCTACGCAGAGGTTAAATTTAAATTCCTGACAATGGGAAATACAAATAATGACAACAAGCAAAGTTTACAAGAATCATAATTCAATTTAATTTTACATGGTTAAAATTGCAGAATTAATGAGAACAACATGCGATTTGGTAGAAACAAGTGAAATGACCTGTTTCTAAATGAGTTTTTTTGCCACTCTCAGTTAGATTTTATAAGTGGGAAAATGTCATTTTCAATTTTTTGTTTGAACTACTTTGATAGTTGGATAGACAGGTTTTCTTTTCCTTATGACTGGTAGACTCTTTTTCTTGCGGTTTTCTGTAACAATTTTCGATCTGTTCCCTTCGGCACTTATGCATACATATTTGTTGTTAGATGAAGATACAAAGGTTGATTTAAGTCATATTTAAACTATTGTTTCTTAAAATTGTAGATGAGGATACCAAAAGTGAACCATGTCAGAGGTTTTTCAGAGAAGGCCTAACAATCTCATTTACTAAGATTTTGACAGATGAGGCTGTTAGTGGCTGGAAATATGAAATACACGTAAGTAGGGGCCCTTCGCATAATTTGTCTGTTAAACGGTGCCTATTTGGGTTCTGAAAACCTCCCAGGTCAAATTTTGCCCTTTTTATTAAGATTTTCTTTGATTTTGATTTATGTTGGCATTGAAGAGTAAATTAAGAGTAAAAAGAAAAGGATGATCGACTGGTGGTGTAAAAAATTACTTCTAAATGGACTATAACCTTTTAAGACCTAATCACATACTCAACTATCCATTTAAGTTATCCTAAAATTGTGAAGTTTGTCAAAAACTATTTTTCTTGTCTAACTTTCTCTAATAAAACAGGGCATGTTGTTGTTTTCTGCCTCTTACTTAAATTATTTGTTTTTTTCAGAGATGTATAATGAAAAACTGTGAAAGATTGGTCGAGCTGTGTGTTGTGAAACTACCACATGATTGGTTCCCGTTATTGGACCTTCTGGCCATGGTCCTCAACCCAACATCAAAGTAAGTAATCCGGGCCACAATTTCATTTTCATGTCCCTACCACAAATGCCGGATTGTTATAATCTCAAACTTTTTTCGTGGATGGTGTTGGGTGGTTGGTGTTCGATGGTCACTTCTGTAACAAATGGCAGGTGATGAACATTTTGATATTTTACAATTTCGTTGTTTTTGCCATGTACCTTTAGAAAATTGTGAATACTGGTGCTTGTCTGGTTTGTGAATTTCTCAAGTTGCAATAGCACAAATCCAATAATTTTACCATTGAAATCAGCAGCCACAGTTTTGCTTTCCTGAATCCTGAACAGCCACATTAACTTCAGAAGTGTCTTTTAGCCCTGCACCAAGCATTTATGTCACAAAAACCAGTTACAAAAATCGATATAAGAATTCCTTGAAATTGCAAGTTACATCAATTGAACATTTTTTACGGTGCACATATAACTGCAGTTATAATATTGAAGCTCCACTGTGTTCTATTGAAATATGGATCTCACAAATTTCAAACAATTTCAGGTTTCATTGCTACAATGGTACCAGACAGAGCGAGAGTGTACCCTCTGGATCGTCACTAGCTGAGGATGAGTTATTTGCGCGTCCCCCAGATGCAAGAACCCCCAAAGGCTGGCTTGTGGACTTAGTGAATAAATTCGGACAGTTGGAGGGATTCCAGATTATTCTCGATAGATTCACTAAAGGGGCGAATCTCAGTGTATCATTGGTAGCAGCTCTTATAAGGTATTGTCTAATTCACAGAGCCTGCAACCTCCATTTAATTTGAATTTTCTGTAAAGCAACACCACCTGCGATTTTAATTCTTCTTTTTAGATTGAGCTAATATTGCATACCTTATATCTGTGTTCTTTTTTCAAAAATTAAATCATATATTATATATAACAATGAAATCTATGTGTAAAATATGCTCAACCTTTCTGGCTGTATATTTACCAGTCTGTTGGAATCACTCATTCAGGGTAAATCGAATGTAGCAAATACTGTTGTTTTACATTTGCAGACCGTTTGGATTGTGTTATGAAGTCCTTACTCCCCATACAGTGCAGAAATACTTCATGCCAATTGTCGTAAGTTTACATTTACCTTATTATCCCACCGAACGAAGAATGTGGAGTCTAATCAGTGATTTCCCTTATAATGAAAACAAGTTTCGTCTCTGTCCTCGTTTGATTATGAACCCCCTCTCCCATTGGAAAATCATCATCATTTGTTGCAACTTGAAATTAAGAAAATGTCACAATATTTTCCACCCATTTTAGAATAAGATTCTATGTAAAAACAGAAAAATACCTTTTATGTCCGTCGTATTCCAAAATACAACAGTTTTTCACAATTTAAATTTTGAAATTAATGTTCTGAACGATAACCCTTACTTCCAAAAATGTTGTCTGATTAGTTCAATACCTGATGACCATAAATTAAGAACTTCTTTCCCGAGCTGTGTATGTTCTCCCTTGAAATGTATTTTCTCCCTTGAAATGTATTTTCTCCCTCAAAGTGTATGTTCTTGTTCTCCCTCGAAATGTATGTTCTCCCTCGAAGTGTCTGATTTAACATTTCCATATTCACTTTCAGGAAATGGTGCCTAAGTTCCTGGATGCACTTACAGATGATGAATTGAAAAAGGAATCCAAATCTGAAGCTAAAAATGATGCACTTTCTGGTTAGATAAATGTTGCTTTTTATACCCAAGAAAATTCTTCATGGTCATGCTCATTTCGCACATTTTCTCCATAAAATTTGAATGAAGTGTCTAATTTTCTTGCCTTTATGTACAATTTAGAGTGTTGACTACATGCCTGTTTACTTTATTCCTTGCTGATTCCTCTCATTTCTCTCTAAACTTTGAATGAAGTGTCTGATTTTCTTGCCTTTATGTACAATTTAGAGTGTTAAATACATGCCTGTTTACTTTATTCCTTGCTGATTCCTCTCATTTCTCTCTAAAATTTGAATGAAGTGTCTAATTTTCTTGCCTTTATGTACAATTTAGAGTGTAAACTACATCCCTGTTTACTTTATTCCTTGCTGATTCCTTTCTTTTCTATCTAAAATTTGAATGAAATGTCTTATTTTCTTGCCTTTATGTGCAATTTAGTGTTAACTACATCCCTGTTTATTTTACTCTGCTGATTCCTCTCTTTTACCATTTATTTTGCATTTAAAAAATGACTACCTTGATATTGTATTGAAACTTCAAATGTAGTCCACTAAAGTTAAGAATCTGTTTTTTTGTGTAATATAATAACCCCAAGATGACGATAAACTAGTCCATGCAGTCATTATGGAAGAATCCATCTTAAGAGCAGATGACATTAAAAGGGGACTCAGCATCAAAATTATTTGATTTCAGGTATAATCAAAGCACTGAAGTGCCTTGTGTCGAGGCTCTCTGGGCAGGAAGAAAAAGTGAAAGATCTGGAGATATTTAGGCTTAAAATGATCCTTAGGTATGTAATTACATTTTCTCCCTTTAAAATGAACCTTATCTCATTCTCTTCTTTTAAAATGTATATCATCACATTTTGTCCCTTTAGAATGTATATCATGGCATATTTCATGTTACATCAATCACTCTTTTTGCATATGTATTTTCATTGTTAATGTTAATGTTCTTCTGTTCCAGAATGTCATTATATTTGATGGCAATATGAGTCACTGGCCCTTAAATGATCATATTGTCTATTTGATTCCGGACTTTTACAAATCTCATCTTTCAATGGCAATAGGGGTCACTGGCCCTTAAATTATCATATTGTCAATTTGATTCCAGACTTTTACAAATCTCATCTTTCAATGGCAATATGAGTCATTGGCACTTAGATTATCATATTGTCTATTTGATTCCAGACTTTTACAAATCTCATCTTTCAATGGCAAGATGAGTCACTGGCACTTAGATTATCATATTGTCTATTTGATTCCAGACTTTTACAAATCTCATCTTTCAATGACAAGATGAGTCATTGGCACTTAGATTATCATATTGTCTATTTGATTCCAGACTTTTACAAATCTCATCTTTCAATGGCAAGATGAGTCACTGGCACTTAGATTATCATATTGTCTATTTGATTCTAGACTTTTACAAATCTCATCTTTCAATGGCAAGATGAGTCACTGGCACTTAAATTATCATATTGTCTATTTGATTCCAGACTTTTACAAATCTCATCTTTCAATGGCAAGATGAGTCACTGGCACTTAGATTATCATATTGTCTATTTGATTCCAGACTTTTACAAATCTCATCTTTCAATGGCAAGATGAGTCACTGGCCCTTAGATTATCATATTGTCTATTTGATTCCAGACTTTTACAAATCTCATCTTTCAATGGCAAGATGAGTCATTGGCCCTTAGATTATCATATTGTCTATTTGATTCCAGACTTTTACAAATGTCATCTTTCAATGGTAATATGAGTTATTGGCACTTAAATTATCATATTGTCTATTTGATTCCAGACTTTTACAAATCTCATCTTTCAATGGCAAGCTGAGTCATTGGCACTTAGATTATCATATTGTCTATTTGATTCCAGACTTTTACAAATCTCATCTTTCAATGGCAAGATGAGTCACTGGCCCTTAAATTATCATATTGTCTATTTGATTCCAGACTTTTACAAATCTCATCTTTCAATGGCAAGATGAGTCACTGGCCCTTAAATTATCATATTGTCTATTTGTTTCCAGACTTTTACAAATCTCATCTTTCAATGGCAAGATGAGTCACTGGCCCTAAGATTATCATATTGTTCATTTAATTCTAGACTTTTACAAATCTCATCTTTCAATGGCAAGATGAGTCACTGGCCCTTAAATTATCATATTGTCTATTTGATTCCAGACTTTACAAATCTCATCTTTCAATGGCAAGATGAGTCACTGGCCCTTAAATTATCATATTGTCTATTTGATTCCAGACTATTACAAATCTCATCTTTCAATGACAAGATGAGTCACTGGCCCTTAAATTATCATATTGTCTATTTGAATCCAGACTATTACAAATCTCATCTTTCAATGGCAAGATGAGTCACTGGCCCTTAATTTATCATATTGTCTATTTGATTCCAGACTTTAACAAATCTCATCTTTCAATGGCAAGCTGAGTCATTGGCACTTAGATTATCATATTGTCTATTTGATTCCAGACTTTAACAAATCTCATCTTTCAATGGCAAGATGAGTCACTGGCCCTTAAATTATCATATTGTCTTTTTGATTCCAGACTTTTACCAATCTCATCTTTCAATGACAAGATGAGTCACTGGCCCTTAAATTATCATATTGTTTATTTGATTCCAGACTTTTACAAATCTCATCTTTCAATGGCAAGATGAATGCCTTGAATGAAGTGAACAAAGTTGTCACCAGTGTATCGTACTACACACACAGACACAGCCAAACAGAGGAGGATGAGTGGCTGACAGCGGAGAAAATGGCCGTAAGTACCAAATATTTAGAGGAGGGGCTAAAAACTGATGGAAGTTCTGATATTTGAATTCTTAGGGACTGTCAAATATTGATAGTACATCGATTTTACGTTTAAGATAGATTTCATTGGAAAAGTATGGTGACATTTTGTACCCAGCGCCTTTACATTAGAGACAGTACTTTGACGTTTGCTGAAAATTGAAATGAACTATGTCTGGGTGTGTGCATAAACAGTGGTAGACCTTGAAATTGGGATGCCAAATATGAGGACTTTGGTATCGATTTGGAAATTAGTGTCAAAAGGGCCAATTGTAAGGATTAAAATGAAAAATATTGATTAATCATGTCTGACAGTGATAAAAAACTTTAAATGTGAACACCTCCAATTTGAAGAGAAATGGTGAACAGTTACATTTGAAAAATTAACATGAAATGAACACGGAATTGCTGAAATGATTAGACATTTGTAATTTGTAAATTATTTTGTCCCTATTTCAGGAATGGATCCAAGAGAACAACGTCCTTTCTATTGTCCTAAGAGACAGTCTCCACCAGCCTCAGTATGTGGAAAAACTAGAAAAGATACTGCGTTTCATGATTAAGGAGAAATCTCTCACGATGTTGGACCTAGACAGGTTATGGGACGCACAGGCTGGGAAACACGAGGCCATTGTTAAGAATGTACATGATCTTCTCGCAAAACTGGCTTGGGATTTCTCACCTGAGCAGCTGGATCACCTGTTTGAATGCTTCCAGGTAAGTGATTAAGTGGGGAATGATTGGGGGGGGGGGATGATTTGGGGATGCATCTTTGGGTTATGGGTCAAATTGTTTGAATGACAAGTAAGGATAGTGGTGGAGTCAGGGAAGGAGGGATTTTACAATTGTTACAATTGATTCTATGATAGCTAAGAATAGTAATGAATCGGAGTTGGGTGAGGGTAGATTGTGGCTGGCCTTTGGGACAAATGAGGATAGTGATGGAGTCAGGGAAGGGGGGGAGGCTTTTGGCTGGTTTAAGTCTGGTTGTTTGATTACAGGGTGTCCAATAAATAAGGTGAAAGATATTGTAACTTTCTTAATATTGCACCAATCTTGATGAAATTTTCAGAGTTTTTTTATCTTTATTCTGTGAATTTGAAGTGTCTTCTATTTGATTGGCCAGAGTTGTGGTTGCTATAGCAACTGAAACAACAAAAGGGCGGGGCAAGTTTGTTTACGTCACAACTTTCCAAAACATATTTATTCTTTTTGATAGCTTTATTCATACTCCCAGGTCTATTACTACCATAAATACAATATAAAAACAGACCTAAAGTCCCATTGTTATGAAAATAAGCTATTCAACATAGTGTCCATCTCTATCTATACACTTCTTATGCCTATTCACCCACTCTCTAAACACACTTTCAAACCCATTCTTGTCCATTTCCTGAAGTCTTGCTAAGACATGTGATCTGAGTTCACACACAGCTATGCTTACTAGTGAAACTATTAGGGCACTGGGGCTACCCCTACTTGCACATCCTCCATATTCCCCAGACCTTGCACCCAATGAATTTTACTTATATGCAGAACTCAAGCGTGACTTGAGAGGAAATAAATTTGGAAGCACTGATAAACTCAGATCACATGTCTTAGCAAGACTTCAGGAAATAGGCAAGAATGCATGGGTTTGAAAGTGTGTTTAGAGAGTGGGTGAATAGGCATAAGAAATGTATAGCGAGAGATGGACATTCTGTTGAATAGCTTATTTTCATAACAATGGGACTTTAGGACTGTTTTTATATTGTATTTGTGGTAGTTATAGACCTGGGAGTATGAATAAAGCTATCAGAAAGAAGAAATATGTTTTGAAAAATTGTGACGTAAATAAACTTGCCCCGCCTTTTTGTTGTGTTGGTTGCTATAGCCACCACAACTCTGGCCAATCAAATAGAAGATGCTTTAAATTTACAGAATAAAGGTAAAAAGGTTTGGACTACAAACTCTGAAAATTTCATCAAGATTGGTGCAATATTAAGAAAGTTACAATATCTTTCACCTTATTTATTGGACACCCTGTATATGTTAATTGTAAATATTGAAAATAAAATGTGAACAATGCATTTACAGGGAAGCTGGGCAAATGCATCTAAAAAGCAGAGGGAAAAGTTATTGGAGTTAATTAGAAGATTGGCAGAGGATGACAAAGAAGGAATAATGGCTCATAAGGTAAAATAAGATTCTCAACCTAGATTGTACAATAAACAAGTCTTTTTATTCATGTCATCGAATAGTCCCATCTGATGAGCAGCGAATTTGAATCATATTAGTTTTTTGGACAAAGTTGAGAAAAATCCTTTAAAGAACACAACTGTCATCTAAAACCCAAGACAGCTGCTTTCAGATTTTTCATTGATATTTTAACGGTATCTTTCAGGTCTTGGGGCTATTATGGAATCTAGCCTACAGCGATGATGTTCCTACAGAAATAATGGATCAAGCCCTCAAAATCTTGGACTACAGTTGTTCACGAGATCTCCCCAAAATACATGTTAGCTGCTTTCAGATATTTCATTGATGTTTTAATTTTATCTTTCAGGTCTTGGGGCTATTATGGAATCTCGCATACAGCGATGATGTTCCTACAGAAATAATGGATCAAGCCCTAACAGCACATATCAAAATCCTGGACTACAGTTGTTCACAAGATCTCCCCAAAATACATGTTAGCTGCTTTCAGATATTTCATTGATGTTTTAATTTTATCTTTCAGGTCTTGGGGCTATTATGGAATCTCGCATACAGCGATGATGTTCCAACAGAAATAATGGATCAAGCCTTAACAGCACACATCAAAATCCTGGACTACAGTTGTTCACGAGATCTCCCCAAAATACATGTTTGCTGCTTTCAGATTCCTCATTGATGTTTTAACTTTATCTTTCAGGTCTTGGGGCTATTATGGAATCTAGCATACAGCGATGATGTTCCTACAGAAATAATGGATCAAGCCTTAACAGCACACATCAAAATTCTGGACTACAGTTGTTCACAGGATAGAGACAGTCAGAAAATGCATTGGATCAGTAGATTCGTTGAGGAATTAAAGAATGAGAAATGGGTGATACCAGCGTTGAAGCAAATCAGAGAGATATGTACGCTTTTCACTGAGGTATGTATGACTGTATTCACGCCTACTGTAAACTGTGAGTCAATATTTCACCCGGTATGTATTTGGAGACACTGCACCTTGTAATACGAGTAACTGCCCTGTCAACCCTCATGCATTAGGCGTGATTCTCACGCATTTGCTGGAAAAATGAAATCACGCATCAATTTTGCGTGTATGATAAAATGTCACGCAAATCATGCATTATGTTATTAAAAAAATTTGCTTTTTATAAAATGCCGATATAGTAAAAAATGATTGTTGAAAAAGCGAATGCATTCCGTTCACACAAATTATGTATATGTCACGCATTTGCTTCAAAGTATTTTGTACATCAGAGATACTTTAGACCTCAGAGCAGGTGTAATATTGCCGAATACATACCTTAGAGCTAGGCACAAACGCATATGCCAAAATGTCAAAAATGTCACATTTTGGGTGACATCTTGCCCATGCATGTTTATATGTGTGCATAATAATTCATCACTAAATAAAGATTATATAAAATAAACCTTGAAACATTCTTGTATGATTTTCAGGCTCCATCTAACTTTACCCATGGCCAAAGGACTCCACATACATATTATAGAAACCAAGTGATTAACAAACTTCAGAGCACTCACTCAATTGTCATGCTAGTGGCCCAGAATCTTACCCTCTATATGAACAATGCCAGAACACATGCTAAAGGTGAGATCCCTTATATGTCGTCTGCTTGTCACTTAGACTCTTCCATAATGAGAGAATGGACTAGTTTATTGTGTAACATAGGGGTGTTAATACTCACAATTTTATTGTATACTCTTTAGATATTGATTCCAAAAACCAATTGTTCCATGCAGAAGTCTCCTTGACTCTTTCTGGAAATTATCTGACATTTAACGCAAAAATACAAAACAAGCAATGTCCATGTTTAGCTGTATGTCAGTTTTACCATGTCAAACAAATCAGGTTTACCATGTCAAACAAATCAGATTTACCATGTCAAACAAATTATAAATTATCATAATTTATAAAGAATTACAACTTAATGATATGCAATTTTAAAATGTTCTAGCTTGTGATAAGCCATACACCCCCTGGGGTGTCTTTATCATTATTATGTAAATATATTAATATGATTTTAATAAATAAATAAAAAAAAAGAAGCCATTTCTTAATGCAGAAAACCCCAATCTCACACTTTCATTGTCCATGTTTAGCTGTATGTCAGGTTTACCATGTCAAACAAATCAGGTTTACCATGTCAAACAAATCAGGTTTACCATGTCAAACAAATTATAATCAAATGCCATTTCTTAATGCAGAAAACCCCAATCTGGAACCAGCAAACATATTCCCTGATGGAAGGTTCAATCACTCCCAACAAGTCCAAGAGCGGCTGAAATTCCTAAGGTAAACCTTAAGATACAATTTTGAATCATTCTTGAACTATTCCTTAGCCTTATTCAAATGATTTATTAAATCATCATAGATGTGAGCCAGATACCTAAAGATTTGTGTGACAGTTTATTAATGAATTCAAATTGAATTAATTTGATATGAATTAATATTATAAAAAATATTTAAAACTTATTTTTTTAATAATCATAGCTTGATATTATTTTAGGTTTCTACTAAAAGATGGTCAACTTTGGTTGTGTGAACCTCAGGCTAAACAGATCTGGTGCTGCCTAGCAGAGAACGCCATCTATCCTTCAGATAGGGAATCGTGTTTTAAATGGTTTTCAAAGGTAGGCATACAAAACTTTGTGCATTAAATAAGAGAGAAGAAAATGAAATTTTTATCTGCTTTGTTCAACATTTAACTCTGGTTGAATGTCAATTTTTTTTTATAATTTTGACGTTTTCAGAGTTTTGTCAAATATGATGAAGTTGTTCTAGACACAAAAAATTAAGAAAAGTTTTTTTGTATATGCCCATTCTGAAGCAATTAAGGAATATATATTTTATATCTGACATGTCTGAGAAAAACTAACAACCTTAGTTGTGAGCCCTGTAAATTATGCTTGTTTGTATTTCCACATGTTTCTTTGTATTTGCACATGTTCCTTTGTATTTCCACATGTTTCTTTGTATTTCCACATGTTTCTTTGTATTTGCACATGTTTCTTTGTATTTCCACATGTTCCTTTGTGTTTCCACATGTTTCTTTGTATTTCCACATGTTTCTTTGTATTTGCACATGTTCCTTTGTATTTGCACATGTTCCTTTGTATTTCCACATGTTTCTTTGTATTTCCACATGTTTCTTTGTATTTCCACATGTTTCTTTGTATTTGCACATGTTCCTTTGTATTTCCACATGTTTCTTTGTATTTCCACATGTTCCTTTGTATTTCCACATGTTTCTTTGTATTTGCACATGTTTCTTTGTATTTCCACATGTTCCTTTGTATTTCCACATGTTTCTTTGTAATTGCAGCTTATGGGGGAAGAGCCTGATTTAGATCCTGAAATCACAAGGCAGTTCTTCGAACAAAACATCTTGCAGTTCGATCCTTCACTTCTTTCTGAAAATGGCATAAAGTGAGTGAAAATATTTTTGTCTACACAACCATCAAAACTCTAAGATAATGTTTTTGTTCAACTCTAGTCTATGCTAAATGTTGGTGTTTTATCATCCTCCGATCACAGGGCTTCAAAATCCAGAATATATTCTTTCTTTTTACCCCCTGCGATAAGCAGTTAGCCTTTCCCCGATTAAAAACTCGCAATTTGATTGGCTGTCGCAACACTGCGACAGAAATCATGTATAAGTCATTGCGCATAATAGGATCACGTGATTCAGTTTAATTGGGCGCTTCCAAATTGGTTATAGCAGGGGGAAGAAGGAGGTACGGATTCTGGATACATGCTTAGGAGGATGGTGTTTTATTAGAATTTCTAATGATAGGTTAACAGAATGAAAACAGATGGTAAAATTATTGACATATTGTTATAGTCTCCCAACTTTTTGTGGATGGTGTTTGGGGGTTGGTGTTTGGTATTTGGTGTCTGTAACAAATGACATGTGATGAAATTTTGCATGTAAATGTTTCGTTTTAAAATTGATACAGTTGCAAAATTTTGACCTTGGGGCATGTTTCAGTTTTTTAATAGTATTAATATACAGTACTATATAATGCATAAAACTTTTTTCCAGTTGTTTTGAGAGGTTTTTTAAGACAGTCAACTCTAAAGAAGGGAACATCACAGCTAAGAGACGCGGAGGATACATGATGGATAATGTTGAACTTATAGGTCTGGAGTATTTATGGAGAGTAAGTTTCTAGAAATACTAGAATATGATGGTGGAAGATTGTCTGTCTGTAAGAAGCACCTCTTTTTGTTCATTAAATTAGACAACTAATTGTGTCAGTAAATTAAACAGTAAATTACAGGATCACCAGTCAAATCTATGTATTTAGAACCCTTCATATTATAAACCATCAATATTCACAGCGTTACACACAGGGCTTTGAGAGATATGATAAAATATAGTTATAGTTGAAGAACATCGTTGCCCTGCAATTGAAAAAGCCATTGTACTATGAAAAAGAGTGTATTGAGTTTCACTTCCTAAAGTTTCATAGAAAATTTTATCACATCTCTCAAGGCCCTTCTTCTAACATGAGCTCATGGCTCGTGATGTCAGCGGGGCCTGGATAGTCCCCGTGCATATTGAAAAAGTTCTTAATGAGGCAAAGTTGCTTCCATTTAATCAGCTTCTTAAAAATGCTGTTATTTTTCACAAGTTTCAAATGTGAAATAGATTCATGGGAAGGTTTAGTTGAATTAACATGGTTTACCCAAATGTTCTTGAATGAGGCATACAGCATAGATTGAAATGTTTTGAATGTGAGGCAAAATCACTTCGATTTAATAGCAACCTAAAAACTATTGTAATCATTTTTTTTCATTTTTTTAGGTTGTCCTGTACAGCCCAGATGAGGTAGCAGAAAAAGCAATATATTTATTGAAGGATATTTATACCAATCTTGGACCCAGGCTACAGTCCAACCAGGTAAGGGAAAACAGTTTCCTCCCAAAAATATTTTTTATCCCATCTTGGTGGATGTACATTTTATGAATAAAACATGTTGTGTTGGCCCAGTTGAGGATTTGGAAATAACTAATATTAGTTTGAATTATTTTGAAGTCCAAGGTTCAATACTTAGACTGAAAGTTAATTGTATTACTTTAAAGCTTAAGTCAGCTTCCAATTTCATTTTCCAAATTTCCAAAATGAATTCACAAGGAATTTTTGCAATCATCTCCTTTTAAAATTCAATTAATGTTCAGATAGTTTGAGATCAATTTGATCTATTGATTTCCAGGTTGAAATTCATGAGGACTTTTTACAATACTACGTTGATTGCCAAAAAGCCTCATACAATACAATAACGATCATACATATCCTCTGAACTTCAGTTGAATTACCATTTCATTTTCCAAATTTCCAGGTTGAAATTCATGAGGACTTTTTACAAGACTGCGTTGATCGCCTAAAAGCCTCCTACGATACAATAACGATCATACATATCTTCTGAACTTCAGTTGAATTACCATTTCATTTTCAAAATTTCCAGGTTGAAATTCATGAGGACTTTTTACAAGACTGCGTTGATCGCCTAAAAGCCTCCTACGATACAATAACGATCATACATATCTTCTGAACTTCAGTTGAATTACCATTTCATTTTCCAAATTTCCAGGTTGAAATTCATGAGGACTTTTTACAAGACTGCGTTGATCACCTAAAAGCCTCATACGATACAATAACGAACATACATATCCTCTGAACTTCAGTTGAATTACCATTTCATTTTCCAAATTTCCAGGTTGAAATTCATGAGGACTTTTTACAAGACTGCGTTGATCGCCTAAAAGCCTCATACGATACAATAACAATCCTTGAAAAGGATAAAGACAGTATGAACAGAGTTCATCAAGAGGCTCAGAGAATGATCAGAGTACTCACAATGTGGAAAGAGTACGTCGCTGAATGTGACGACGCGTATGGTGAAGAACGCACGATTTTACCACTAGGACGTGCTTGTAGAGGAAAACATTTGGCTCTGCTGGTCAGATTTCCAAACCAAGGCCGGCAAATTGAGGATATAGATTTGTGGTCGCATACTAATGAATCAATCGGCTCTGTGAGGAGACAGATTTTGCATAGGTTAGTAATTATGTGCCCCAATACAACAGGAATTGAACAGTATGCATACAGTCTATCCCTGAAGAAGCATTTGTGATATAGACCATATCTATCTCATGCAATTTCAGCTTTCAGCCTGGCTTTTTAATTTGGATTGGTCTATTCAACAGGAATTGAACAGTATGCATACAGTTTATCCCTGAAGAAGTTTGGCATTTGTGATATAGACCATATCTATCCCATGCAATTTCAGCTTTCAGCCTGGCTTTTTAATCTAACCAAATCCGTGATCTCCACAGGATATTTTCTCAAGTGGGTGCAAAATTCTCATTTTCACAATTCAGACCAAAATTGGTCAACATATGCTCATTTTCATAATTTTTCTCATTTTCAAGTGGGTGCAAATGGATTTTCAGGTGGGTGCAAGCATATTATCAATAATCTCAGGTGAGTGCTGCGCCCACTTGCTTTAATGCTGGGGAGATCACTGCAAATATTGCTTATTGCTTATATTGAAGACACAACTGTATTTATTATTATTATTATTATATCTTGGTTACCGCCATATTTGGCGAGCAATACCTCATTGGTATATTCCATATTTTACGTATTTTACACTCGAAGATAGAGCCAGAAACCCCTCCTTGGAGGAGTCCTGTTTTCTTTTATGTGCACAGGTACACAGACATACAGGTACACACCACAGCCTTTTATACGAGTCGTGAACCACTCAGTCAAACACCCAGAATTACATAACGCACAAACAATCTTGTCTGAACCGGGAATCGAACCCCGGGCCAAGCGATATTGGTAACCTTGACTCTCTCTCTGCCACTGAGCCATAGCGGGTGGGCAGGTGTCTAGGATTTTACTTAAAACATCATTATTACATTTTGTCTTACAGGGTTAAGCCTAACAATAGCAACCTAAAGGTGGATTTATATGTGAATGGCGAACTTTTGGAACCAAGTGACGATAGGCGACTTATTCTTCATATTCCCATCAGAGACAAAACTGTAAGAATATTTACAATCTTACACATTTTTATTACAATCTTTCACATTTTTATTTGAATTTATTATTTATTTTAAAAACATTTCTTTGATTTTCATAGTGTCAATCTCTGATTGACAAAATATATATTAGGAAAATTGATAATTGTAGACTTAATAGTTTGTACAATATTTCAAAAATTAAGTACATTATTGTTGTTAATTTGTACAATGTGGAACTTGGAAGCAGTAAATGTGAATATCTTCATTTACCAATTTGTGTACATAATTCACAACCATTGCTTCAATTATTAAGAAGTAAATTCATATTGAATATTATGCACTTTATTTCAGTTGATAACTGCCAAGCTGTGTCAAGCAGGGAGTAATATGCCATCTAGTCCAGACAGTAGTTCAGATAGTAGTACAGGCTCACCCCATTCTCCTTATGAGGGTCCTAATATAGAGGCTGAAAGCTGTCTACCGGGAGTGGTGCGTTTATTTATCAGTTTATCCCATGTTTATTCTTTGGTAGAAAACCCAACAAATGCCTCAGATGGCTTAAAAAATATCAGTATCTTATATTCCAAAATTTGGCCATCAATCCAAGGTAATTGCCAAGTTTTTACTCCAAATGGCCATGGTGGACTTTTCAAAAATATCAATAGTTATTCTTAAGAACAGTTTTTCTACAAAGTCATATTTCAGATTACATGGTAAACAACTCAACATATTATGCCACATTTAACTGTAGAAGGCTATGATGAACTTTCCTGACTTATCAATAAATCAATCTTTCAGTAATTTTTTTTATTCTAGATCATTGTAGACAACCTAAAATATGCCACATTTTTACTGCAGATTATTTATCTATTCTAAATTACCATCCTCCCAAGCAGGTGTCCAGAATCCGTACCTCCTTCTTCCCCCTGCTATAACCAATATATTCTGGATTTTGAAGCCCTGTGATCGGAGGATGTAAAAAATTACAGCCTTTCAATAATCTTATATTTCAGATCAATAATCTTATATTTCAGATCAATAATCATATATTTAGATCAATAATCTTATATTTTAGATCATGGCCAACAATCCAAGATACGCCACATTCCTACTACAAATGGCTGACTTAGGAAGTAGAGTGAACTTTCCCAAACTGAGGGAGGGAGCCAGACAGGTTCTGAAGCTTATGCCTCCAGGTGAGACCTAACACCCCTCTTGTGTCGTCTGCTGTTCAAATGAACTCATCTATAATGATTGAATGGCATAGTTCATCCTAAGAAATAGGGGTGTTTATTTTATTTTTTATTACAACTGGTCAGTTTCCATTCAACATGTGATCAGTGGTTTACAGAGTAATCTCTGTCACCAAATGGACACTATTTTAACATTATTAATAAAATATCTGGATTTGTCTTAATTTTTTCGACATTTTTTCCATTGCTTGACTGGGGTGAAAAGTAGCAAGTTGCAGTCCAGCTTCTGTGGCTTCAAACTCATTGATCTCTGTGTAGCTCTGTAGAAATCGTGGTTTTAAAATGTGTACCTCTGCTATTTTAGATAATGCCAAAGTTGAAGAGATCAAAAAGTTATGTGAGACAGCAGCCAAGGGTGATGCAGCAACTAGTCAATCTTTAGAGTCATTGTACTTTGGGCCTAGCTCAGCAGTAGTCCTATACAATCTAGAGGTAGGTATTTTTATTATTATTCCATCGAACGAGGTTCGGAGGGATATAGGAAACCTGCCATCCGTCCGTCCATCCGTTCGTTCATCTGTCCAGGCAATAACTCAAATACCGGTTGACAGATTTGATTCAAATTTTATAGGCTTATGCCTTATGGGTGTAGGACCTCTGCTCGCAAGGGAATTTTCAATATGGCTGCTCAATTCAAATATACAATCTAGAGGTAGGCAAATATTTTTATCACACTTTTTCAAAGTGCTATAGCATCCTTGCCTTGTGGTGATAGGTATGTGTGAGTCTGGGTGGATAATGTTATACATAGGTTTGGACGCGACAAAAGTCAAAAGTCTAAGCAAAAATAGTTAAATTCGGTGAAAACTAAAATATTGAAATTGAACAGGAAAATGAAAAATTGCCTGTCAGAGGAAGCTTAGTTCCAATTTTTCATGTTTCTACATCTCTCTGAGGTGTCATTCTGCCTATTAATGCCAAGTCAGAATGTGATGTCAGAGGAAGCTTAGATCCAATTTTTCATGTGTCTTTATCTCTTTCAGGTGTCATTCTGCCTATTAATGCCAAGTCAGAATGTGATGTCAGGGGAAGCTTAGATCCAATTTTTTCATGTGTCTTTATCTCTTTCAGGTGTCATTCTGCCTATCAATGCCAAGTCAAGAAAGTGATGTCAGAGGAAGCTTAGATCCAATGTTTCATGTGTCTTTATCTCTTTCAGGTGTCATTCTGCCTATTTATGCCAAGTCAGAATGTGATGTCAGGGGAAGCTTAGATCCAATTTTTTCATGTGTCTTTATCTCTTTCAGGTGTCATTCTGCCTATTAATGCCAAGTCAGAATGTAATGTCAGAGGAAGCTTAGATCCAATTTTTCATATCTCTTTCAGGTGTCATTCTGCCTATTAATGCCAAGTCAGAATGTAATGTCAGAGGAAGCTTAGATCCAATTTTTCATGTGTCTTCATCTCTTTCAAGTGTCATTCTGCCTATTAATGCCAAGTCAGAATGTGATGTCAGAGGAAGCTTAGATCCAATTTTTCATGTGTCTTTATCTCTTTCAGGTGTCATTCTGCCTATTAATGCCAAGTCAGAATGTGATGTCAGAGGAAGCTTAGATCCAATTTTTCATGTGTCTTTATCTCTTTCAGGTGTCATTCTGCCTATTAATGCCAAGTCAGAATGTGATGTCAGAGGAAGCTTAGGTCCAATTTTTCATGTGTCTTCATCTCTTTCAGGTGTCATTCTGCCTATTAATGCCAAGTCAGAATGTGATGTCAGAGGAAGCTTAGATCCAATTTTTCATGTGTCTTTGTCTCTTTCAGTTGTCATTCTGCCTATTAATACCAAGTCAGAATGTGATGTCAGAGGAAGCTTAGATCCAATTTTTCATGTGTCTTTATCTCTTTCAGGTGTCATTCTGCCTATTAATGCCAAGTCAGAATGTGATGTCAGAGGAAGCTTAGATCTAATTTTTCATGTGTCTTTATCTCTTTCAGGTGTCATTCTGCCTATTAATGCCAAGTCAGAATGTAATGTCAGAGGAAGCTTAGATCCAATTTTTCATGTGTCTTTATCTCTTTCAGGTGTCATTCTGCCTATTAATGCCAAGTCAGAATGTGATGTCCTAGGAAGCTTAGATCCAATTTTTCATGTGTCTTGGTCTCTTTCAGGTGTCATTCTGCCTATTAATGCCAAGTCAGAATGTAATGTCCTAGGAAGCTTAGATCCAATTTTTCATGTGTCTTTATCTCTTTCAGGTGTCATTCTGCCTATTAATGCCAAGTCAGAATGTAATGTCCTTGAGAAGTTTAGATCCAATTTTTCATGTGTCTTTGTCTCTTTCAGGTGTCATTCTGTCAATTAATGCCAAGTCAGAATGTAATGACCGAGGAAGCTTAGATCCAATTTTTCATGTGTCTTCATCTCTTTCAGGTGTCATTCTGCCTATTAATGCCAAGTCAGAATGTAATGTCCTTGAGAAGTTTAGATCCAATTTTTCATGTGTCTTTATCTCTTTCAGGTGTCATTCTGCCTATTAATGCCAAGTCAGAATGTAATGTCCGAAAAAGCTTAGATCCAATTTTTCATGTGTCTTTATCTCTTTCAGGTGTCATTCTGCCTATTAATGCCAAGTCAGAATGTGATGTCAGAGGAGGCCTTTGAGTTCCAATTCAACTACTTGAAGAGTGGAGGGGTGGGGGCCGCCCTAAGTATGATCACCAAGAACAACTTCATTCCAAGTGCTGATATCTCAACTAAAAGGTAAGAACTCTTAATACACCCCTCATTACACCCCTATCTAATTTTGAAGCATAATCGCGAAAAGCTTTCTTGAAAGGTGTTCGGATAAACATGTTTAACTGTACATTGCTTGTCCTAGTATTGTAGAATTATGGCACAAATACTCTTTTTTAGATCTGCCTACCTGACTGTACTTAAGATCTGCAAGTTGGTTCTGACCACAGTTGGCCATTCAATGGTACAAGTCGTAGCAGACGCCTGTCAGACTGAGGGGGGAAGCCCAACTGTGTCTGCCAGTCAGCACAATCACGCAGTAGTCCTCCAACAAGCGCTACATCATATACCCAATCCTAACTCTGAGTGCATGACCAGGAATGTGGCTATACGTTTGGGGCAACAGTTAGGAGAACAGGTACTTTGTTATCTTTGAAAGTTGCAGACGACACCCTTTCACCCCTTTGAATATATATAGACTGGTTTAACTTGTCATTTTGGTTCAGCTCATTTGTGTATAAAGGGAGTTAAGGGTGTAATTTTGCTGTATAGAGTTATATATATGTAGCCACTATATCTTAGGGGTCACACGGTTAACCGTGGCTTGCGGTTACCGCGGTTCATACCTCCACGACGGTTAGCTCGCACACAATCTTGAAAACCGCGGTTCTTGAAGAACCGTGACATTTTCAGTTTCACTTCAGAAAAATAAAAATGTAAACTCGGAATTAAACTCCATTTCAAGCTTTCGTGTAATACCAATTAACTTAACATTGTCTGGAATCGTTAATCATCATGCAATAATGAGAACCATACCTCTAAAGAAAACATTTATTCAGTTTAGTGAAGTACTGTGCTAATTTTGCCAACAGTTGACAAGTTATTTTATGTGTTGAAAAAACTTGAACATCAAACAAGAAGATCAACACAGTGAACACACAGATATTTTGGGAGGGAGGGAGGGAAAAAAGACTGAACAAACAAACAAACATTGTGTGAAACTGGATACTTACAATACTGAATACAATAAAACACTGTGACACACTTAGTATGTTTTCTGATTTTCGGATCAATTTCATATATTTTTGCTCATTTCACGAGGCCCGTGAGAACCGCAATCAGAACCGAACCGAACTGTGAAATACAATCACCGAACCGAACCGTGAAATCTCAAACCGTGTGACCCCTACTATATCTTACAACAGGAACGTTGAGAGAAAAGACTTCACCCTTTCACCCCTTTGAATGCACACAAACAAGTCCAACTAGTCATTTTTGATGAGTTCATTTGTATATGGAGGGAGTTCTTTATCATTTCAGGCCACTGGGGCACTACCAGATCTTACAACAGTGAAGTCTATAGAGAAGATAGCTTGGGCAAGTTCATGTGGAAGTCTCCCCTTGGTTCATGCAACTAGTGAAGATATTCACAAAGCACATGAAAGAGTAAGTCAATAGTAGTCTTATAACAATGTTGGGTCAGGGAGCCATTAACAGAAAATTTGTAAAGTTAAGATATTTCTAAAATCCATTGTTCTCTTATTAGGGTCACCAAACCCATTTATTGTATCAACTGACAAAACGAATTCGTTTCTTGTAAATATATAATAGCTAATCAATGTATTGAGTAGCCTTTGATTTTGATTTTTATTCTTTTTTTTTATTTTTATTCTTGAGTTAAATTCAAAATCTGGACAAAAAAAGAATTTGGAGTATTCTCCATATTGAAATATAGTTTTAAGTAATCATACATATTTGACCATATTTGATCATGAATAGTAAATATTTTAATTTTAGATGAATTCACAAAGTAATAAGCAGCCAGACCAAGAAGATATATCTCTATGTAGGGAAGCTCTGGAAGTGTTAACAGTCTGCCTGGCCCTCTCTCCCACCACTCTGGAGGCCCTCATTAAAGACAAGGCCTGGCAGTGTTTCATCATAGATCTTCTCTTACTCTGCAAAAGCAGGTATGATTTAAGTCACCCCACCCCCTCTGTACTTCCTTCAAAATAGTAATATCTGGCCTGGCAGTGTTTCATTAGAAACTATACCTGAAATGAAATAAAGATTAGTATAACAAAGAAGTGATTTATTTATCATAGGAAACCCTCCTTACCCTTTTAGTTGTACATTGAAATGGGTTGTCACCCTTTTTTAACACAAGTGAACTTTGTACCTAGTAACACATCAAAGAATTACATTGTGTCTAAATATTCACTCGTATTTCACCCTACTAAGCTTCCATGCCCGAAGCCAGGATTTGCCAAGGGGGGTTCAGTTTTCAAAAATTTCCAGGGGGGGTTCACATTTGACATTTTTGGCCCAAATATGGCTAAAATCACTTGAGAAGTGCTCAAAATGGTGAAAAACTGCATGATTTTGAAAGAATCTTTTGCCAGGGGGGGGGGTTCTAAGAGAGAACTATTTATATAATATTCACATTTGACAATATTGGCCCAAATATGGCTAAAATCACTTGAGAAGTGCTCAAAATGGTGAAAAGCTGCATGATTTTGAAAGAATCTTTTGCCGGGGGGGGGGGGGGGTTCTAAGAGAGAACTATTTTTGTCAGTGTTATTTGCATGATGTTCTTGCAGTCCTGTAATAATAATTCTTTTTCTTTTTTGTAACAGATCTGTGAGGGTTTCTGCAACAGAACAATTTCTGCTGATGGCCACAAAGTGCTGTGCAGGTCATCGTCCACTTGTTTTCTTTGTCACATTGCTGTTCACAGTTCTCTCAGTAAGTATGAGAAGACACCCTGACACCACAAGTGATCAAGTGCCTCAGTAAACAACCTACACAGCCAATATAATCGGACGCCGTTCCGGCATCGAATAAATTCGGCACCGTTCCGGCAATGTTTCGACACCGTTTCGGCACCGAAACCTATCGACACCAAAATTTGCTACCGGACTAGTCAGTCCATTTGGTGCCGAAATTTGGCACCGAAATGGCGTTGGAAATCAGATTGCATTTTGGCGGTGTATCATCCCTCTAATTTCAACATTGAACAGTGTAATTTCCCAGTTTGGATTGGCTCCCAGCTCCAATATTTTTGTCATATTTGGGCATGTCTGGATTACAAAATTCAAATTCAAACAGCTTCCATTTTGTTCACTTCAACATTCGAATCGTGAATTTTGGGTATTATTTCTAAACGAAAAATTCCCAGACTCACGAGAAATGATCGAGATATTTGTTCGAATCTTTTGAACTGTTTATTTTGAATCGATAGACGGTTATAATTTCAGCCATTTGACGTTTTCATTGCTGAAAGATATCGAGTTTCAAATCTGGGAGGCAATCCTCCTTGCAGTTTGGACCAGTTTATTTGCATATTAAGGGGTGTTACCTTTGTTTTGCAGAATACAGCCAAAGACCATGCCAAACAGTCCCACGAGTACTTCCAGCTATTGTGTAGACTTCTGAATTACGCTTGTGCCAGTCAAGCCATGTTACCAAATGCTGACAAGCTGTTAGATAACCAGATCTCTTGGCTAAAGAAAGTCAGAGTAAGTATCAATCAGTGTACAATAGTGTACAATATATGTATTGATGTACAGTGCATGTAATCAGATCTCTTGGCTAAAGAAAGTCAGAGTAAGTATAAATCAGCGTACAATAGTGTACAATATATGTATTGATGTACAGTGCATGTAACAGTGTACAAGACATGTATTGATGTACAATGCATGTTACAGTTTACAATAATGTAACAGTGTATAATAGGGGTGAGACGAGTCGAAAAAATCCGATTCGAGTCGAATCCGATTCGAGTCAGAAAATGACGATTCGAGTTTCGAATCCGTTTCGAGTCAGATAAAGTGCGAACAACATCGCTTTTGACCGTTCGTATTTTTAATGCGTCAATGGTGGAAAGCCGGAAATATAAACAAACACAATTCGTCGTAAGTTTATTCTGATTTTATTACATATATTCTTTCATTTATGTGTACATACAATATAATAATTTAATACAAGCATATCCAAGTCATTGAAACTTATATAATCAACGCAATATCGAGTAAAAACATGCATATTGACAGTATTTTTCTGAATTTTTTTATTTTTTCGAATTTTTTTCTCAACTCGAAAATGATTCGATTCATCAACTTCGACTCGATTCGACTCGACTCGAAGCCCCAAACCCGCGAGTCCTCGACTCATCGGGTTGTCGTCTCACCCCTAGTGTATAATATATGTGTTGATGTACAATGCATGTTACAGTTTACAATACATGTAACAGTGTACAATATATGTAACAATGTGCAATACATGTGTACAATACAAAGAAGATTTTACAATATATGTAGCAGTCTACAATACCTGTCACAGTGTACAATATATGTAAAAGTGTACAATACTGTACATATTACAGTGTACAATATATGTAACATTGCATGCATCAGGGTACATCAGGGTGGCATGTAATTTTCAAGTTTTCGGAATTCCTATTTTTAGTTGATAGAAAAGTTGTGGAGTACTTTTCTTTGATAAATTTATGACATTACTCTATTATGTTGTTTTAGGAACAAGTTTTGACACACGGGGAAACAAACACTGATGAAGCTCTGCTCGATGGCCATCTTGGTATCACTAGAGAACTTGTCTCTTTTCAAACACCTGAGAAAAAATTTCAACTGGGTTCAGAAGATGGAGGCTCCAATCTCATTAAAGTAAGATTTGTATTAGAATATGTTCTCAAAATTATATGTACTCATTCTACCTACTAAATACAATGAAAGTTGATCGCGGACTTTTCACATGTTTTAGCGACTCAATTTGGACTTTCATGGGGGCAGTACTATAACTTATTTAAAATTCTTAAAACATGTGCCAACAACAATAAGCATAATATTCCATGTTGCATTCATCTTGGTGAAGAAGGCATCTGGTAAAGTCTTTATTTTTAAACCATTCCAAGGCATTTCGAGTCGAAATTGCAAAAAATTTAAATGTTGAAATTTGTCAGATTGCAAACTGAAATAGCTTTGACCCCCTCCCCCCAAACTAGATTTATTTAGTCCGCGATCAACTTTCATCGTATTTAGTTTTAAGGGGGAGAGGGGGGGGGGTCCAACTCAAAACTAGATTTATTTAGTTTTCTATCAGACATTGATCTTTTGATGCCTCCCCTAAAAGATGGAAGCTTCAATCTCAAGTACAGTAAAACCTCAAATCTGAACACCACTTTGGCAAGCCAATATGTTCTGATAGGCAGGTGTTCTCATTTTTGAGTTTTTTTCAACATGGATTCTATGGTGGATTAGCAAACGGAACCAATAAAGTGTTCGCATTGAGAGGTGTTCTAATTAGAGAGGTGTTCAGATATATGGGTTATACATCAAATCATTCAAATGAATTACCTGAGCAAGCTGAAAAGATTTTTGTGATACTGAAAAAATTGGTATTTTCTTGTGAAGAATTTGGACCAACATGTACCTGCACAAATTAAACAAAGTAACTTTCATGAGCAAAATTTCATTAATCTTTCTTATTGTAGGAATTAGTTGAAGATTTTGTGTTCCCCGCATCCAAGTTAGTGCTGCAGCTGCGAAAAATGAATGGAGAACTCCCCTCAGAGCAGGCTATTCCTATTTGTTCCACCCCTCTTACCATTACTGCAGCATTCGACTTGCTAGTTTCCCTATGTACAGGTTGTGTACAAAGCCTGAAGGTGTTGGCAGATATGTTAACAGGCATGTACTACCAAGGTAAGCATTTCTCATTTGTGCTATTTCATAAAATTTTCTTAATAGACCATTTCACTCACCTGGTATTCTTAATTTCACCTCACCTATTCTAAACTTCACCTCACCTATTCTAAATTTCACCTCATCTATTCTAAATTTCACCTCACCTTTTCTTAATTTCACCTCACCTATTCTTAATTTGACCTCACTTATTCTTAATTTCACCTCACCTATTCTAAATTTGACCTCACCTATTCATTATTTCACCTCACCTATTCTTAACTTCGCCTCACCTAATTTAAGATCCTGAATACATCCCTGGACTATTAATGCTTTTAATCTCAATTAAACCTCACTTTCTTTCAGGAACTGAGCCGCCATTGGTCGAATGGGAATACCTGCCACCTATTGGTCCGAGGCCATACAAAGGTTTTGTCGGGCTGAAGAACGCTGGTGCCACCTGTTATATGAACTCTGTACTACAGCAGTTATTTATGATTGATCCAATAAGAACGGGAATTCTGGCAGTAGAGGGCGCTGCTAATGATATTGAAGATGATATTCAAGCTGATGAGAAATACGAGAATGAGGTACGCTTACCCTTTAAAGAATACTTGGCTTAATATCGGCCTTGAGTTTCAAGAATGATAAAAAACTGTTCTGTGATAAATTGATGTTAAAAGATAGGTATCCATATGGTAAACTGAATTCAACAATGTTTTTTCTCTTAAACCAATTATTGAAAACATTCTGTAAAAAACACAGTCCTTTATGTAATGTTGACTGATTGGCAACAATTTAATGAAACGCGTGTTCAAAAAGTTTGCCATATCGATACCACTCCTTTGTGATAAATTGAGGTTGAATGTGAACTAGTTATTTAAAGATTAAAGTGTCTGATTTTCTTGCATTTCCATACAATTTAGAGGGGTAGCTATGTGCCCCTGTAACTCATTTCTTGCTAATTTTCAAGTCTTTTGATTGTGTAAGTTTGTTTGACTTACTTAGAATGAGAATTATTGTTAAATAGCCCTTCAGACGAAATAAATGGAAAATTGGACTAATAAATCTTTTTTTAGACGAACATCGACAATTTAGAAGATGAGCGAAAGGATGATGATAAACCAGTGTTATCCAAAGAGGAGGAGAGGAAACAATACAACCTTGGGCTACTGAAACACGTCCAGGCCATATTTGGGCATTTAGCTTGCACACGATTGCAGTATTATATTCCTAGGGGATTTTGGAAACACTTCAAGTAAGTGATATGTAAAATAAAAATATTTTGAAAAAATAATGTTTGGTTGGGATAAAGTAAAATCCTTCAGTTAGTACATCCATCTGCCCATCCCTCAGTTTTTATCAAACTCTGAAAAATTGCTTTACCATAGTTGTTGATGTGGTGCGGGCAGGCAGGAGGGTGCCACATAAATTTTGCCATTAAAATTCCAGAAAACTGCTCGGATCCATTTACAGTTTTTTGAATTTTCTAGTTTTTTTACTCTGTGATGAATTCACTATTTTTTAGAATTTTGTCCATTTGGGAAAATGATTAATTTTTTTGTACTGTTTCCAGGCTTCAGGGGGAGGCAGTTAACTTACGAGAACAGCATGATGCCTTGGAATTCTTCAACAGCCTTGTAGATAGTTTAGATGAAGCACTGAAGTCCCTCTCTTACCCAACTGTTCTTTCAAAAGTTCTTGGTGGCTCATTTGCTGACCAGAAGATCTGTCAAGACTGTCCGCATAGGTGAGTAGGGTTAACTATTAAACACTTTGGTTGGCTCACATGGTAAGCCAATGGAATCACTCGATTCTGTCCATTTAACTGTCTGCACCTGTCACCATTTTTCATCTTGATCAATGCTAATATCCACTTTAGGGGGTCCATATTTATAATTTACGCCATTGATTCCTAGCTACTACTTTTCGGCATCAGCTTTTTCGCCATGTTATCCTCCCATATATAATGGTCATTGGCATATTTCAGTTTTATTCACTTTAGTCCCAAATTTTTTTTTTCAATTTCAAATTATTTATATTTCCTGGATATTGACATAAATACAAATGTATGCCTTTGTTAACAACATTAGCGACAAAGTACCAAATAGTAAGATAAGTTTTTCTCTTTCAGATACTCCAGAGAAGAATCATTCACAACATTGAACATAGATATCAGAAACCAACAGAACCTATTAGAATCACTAGAGCAGTATGTAAAAGGAGATCTTCTGGAGGGAGCCAATGCTTATAGATGTGAAAAATGTGATAAAAAGGTAGACTTCTTTACTCCATTTTTATGTTACCACCAAAAAGGTCAAAAAGGTATTTTTTCAACTTGCTTCAAATTGACCAATTACAAGTTCCCAGAAATTCCAATCTGACTTTAGATTTGATATTTGACCTGGTAAAAAAGGTCTAAAAGGTCTTCAGGTTAAAAAAGGTCAAAAGGTATTTTTCAACTTGCTTCAAATTGATTGAATTTTCTTGGTGGTGGTGACATTTTGTCATGTTAATGACTTGTATGCAATTTCAATCAAACTGTTTGATGTATGAGTTGATATTTGCAGCAATGTTTCTTGATATGAATATATAGAACTGATTAGTTTTTTTAAGGTGCTTTGTATGCACAACATTTTTCAGTCTGTGGCTTTTGTTATTATTTCACCACCACAAGTGGTGACATATTGTTATAATTTTCATTTTTGTGGATGGTGTTTGTCAGTTTGTGTTCAGCGTTCGGTATTTGGCAGTCCTCATTTGTAACAAATGGCAGGGAGTGACATTTTGCATGTTAATGTCTTGTTTTTATCATGTGTGATTTTTGACTCATTTTTTTCAGGTGGATACTGTAAAAAGAATGTGTATCAAGAAGCTGCCTCCTATTCTAGCCATACAATTGAAAAGGTTTGATTACGATTGGGAAAGAGAATGTGCCATAAAATTTAACGACTATTTTGAATTCCCGAGAGAAGTCGACATGGAACCTTACACTGTACAAGGCTTAGCAAGAATAGAAGGTGAGAAAATGCTGCTAATTGTATTGTATTGTATTTTTTGTTTACCACCAATGAAGGTGAGCAATACCTCTTGGGTATGTCCGGTATATATACGGTCGTAATTTACGTAATTAACATGGAAGAAAGACCCAGAAATAATACTTGTATTCTTTGGCAAACTGATGGAATAAATGAATGAAAAATAGAATGCAAGAAGTTTTTGAACACTTTACCTTTTTGTAAGCAACATTTGACTGTGAAACCCTTTAGAAGAAGTTTTGATTTTTAGTTTTACTTTTAGTTTATAGTAACATCTGACTCCCAATACCCTTTAGCCCTTTGTAAGAGTAATTAGCCCCTCTTAACTTCACTGATGAATCCTGAACTCCATGAGCAAGTTAGAGCTTGCCATTGTTTTTTGTCATTGATTCTCAGATCAAAAATTGGTAATTGTAAAAATTATGAAAAACTTATTCATTATCAACTTCTATATTCTATTTTTATTTATTTATTTTTTTTAATTATATAAAAAAAATTTAAAAAAACTTCTTTATTCTATGTCGGCCTTTAAATGATTTCAGGGGAAGTGATAGAAGAAGACGAATTCTTTGATCCAAACATCAAACGTTGCACAAACTACCGTCTAGTTGGTGTGGTAGTCCATAGTGGCCAAGCTAGTGGAGGCCATTATTATTCCTATATCCTACACAGGCCAAAGGGGGACAGTCATCCTAAATGGTACAAGTTTGACGATGGTGATGTCACTGAGTGCAAAATGGAAGATGATGAAGTAAGAGATTTTTTGAGATTAGTATGGCAAAGATACAAGGGGCGATCCATATATTCTGATAAAAATAAGAGGGATATGTGGAAAAAATCACAAAATGATAGCAATTTTATCAGAATATATGGATCGCCCCTTGTATATTTGTAAAGTTTTAAAGGTATTTGCTTTTGGAAATTTACTATATCAGTATTGCACCTTTGGGTACTCGTACTGTCTTGTGACCAATTTGCTGGATGGCACATTATGGGCATCCCAAGATCAACACGTCTACACGTTTCCATTTGAGGGATCGATTTCAATTTTTTCAAAGATATACTTGACGGCAGATTTTACGGTGGCCATTTTGAATTTCTTTCCCAAAACCATATCATCACATTTCCAGACAAACCACAAAATAGTTAAATTTGAAATTTTCAGGGATGTTCCTTGGCATAAAACTGGGCATGCTGGGAAAATCTTAAAAGGCCATTTGGACTTTTGTCTATCAACATTTCCCATGCAAACTGTGGTGTGAAAAGCTAACTGGTTACTTTAATCCATTATGATCATAATTACAAAAAACTACTCAGTTATAAGATTGCCAAATTTTATAACATTATGTCTTCTTTATATTCTATTCAAGGTTGTGATATAGTTTTATATGATTGGTACTACCTTGGGCATCACGTGCATATCTCTATTTCTTATTTAATGTTAAAATATATACAGGTTGGTCCAAAAAAAGTGAACCCCTGCAACAGGCTATATTTTCCTTAATACTTGCATGAATAGACTCATATAATCACTTGTTGTAGCGAAAGGTCTAACATTTTGGTTGATGCCATAATTTATTCTCAGTCTTAAGTTTTGAAGAAATTACAAGAGTTTGACAAACATGCCTGAAAATTAGATATTGTGCAAAATTTTACCAATGTGATTCACGGAAATTCTTGAAACACATTGGATGATCTTAAACAGCTTTCAGTTAGAGATACAAGTTTAAAACCCTACCATATAATAAAAGGGACACTATTTAAGCAGAAAACACATTTCACACTTTCATTGATCATTTTAACCATACAACAGTTCAGGGGTATGTTACCTGCACAAACAGTTAAAGGAGGGCCTCCTGCGGAAGGAAGTTGCCCCCTGTGACCAGGAATCTGAGAAGCCCTTCGTCAAATGTCTTTAAAAAATCAAAAGAAAATCCAATATTCAATGTTTTGGTTAGTGCTCATAATTTCTGCAAATTCTAAGAAAAATGTATGGTACCAACAAAAATTTTAGACCTTCCTCTGCAACATGTGAAAATAAAAAAGAATTCAAGCAAGTAATAAGGGAACTAATTCACTTTTTTGGACCACCCTGTACAAGCTTCTCTGGAATTGGATTGGATTATTTGAAGCAAAAATGTTCTACGATAAAACAATATTTTCATAAAATACATGTATGTGTTTTTTTTAGGAAATGAGAAACCAATGTTTCGGAGGGGAGTATCTAGGAGAAGTGTTCGACCATTTACTCAAACGTATGTCCTACAGGCGGCAAAAACGATGGTGGAATGCATACATTCTATTCTATGAGAAAATAGATGGACCAAATAGTGTTTTAGACAAAGAACTTACAAAAAGCATGCAGGATCTAACCATCAGTGAGTTACAAATGATTTTGTTTTTATTCCTAAATCAATGTTGTAGCAATTGGTTGTGGGAGAGTGGGTATTTTGAAGTGTAAAAAAGAGAAAGCTTTTTTCTTGGTAAATTTGGTTACGGAAGACTTTCCTGAATTGTGAAACACTCATTAGCCATATTATATAACATTAACCTCTGTCATTCTTGGCCTCAGAGTCATTTCTTAGGTGACGAGAAATTTTGTCACTTGGGAGTCAGATAACCTGTTACAAAATCTTTCACTAAAATTGCTCTAATTTGAACAATCTTATTTTAAGATTATTTCTACTCACATCTAGTCTATATAAATATAAAATGTGTAGATATGATCTCTGCCAGCTAATTTTTACTAAATTGAGCATTATCTATTGTATATGTATGTAGTAAAATGTCAAAAGCTGGCAAAAATGAAGAATTCTCTGGTTTCAAAACGATTTTTGAGCCTGGGATTCAAGAGGTTAATACATATTAAAAGAAAGTAAATGAAGTTTATAACTTTCTAATATTTCAGCTAATAAAACTAGTCAAGTGAAAATGCCAATGGCAATTGAACGCTGCGTTAGGAAACAGAACATCCAGTTCCTTCACAATCGAAGTCAGTTCTGTGTAGAATACTTCCAGTTCATCCGTAAACTACTCATGTGCAATAATCCCTATATACAGTTGCAAGGGGGACATGATAAATTGGTAAGTAAACTACTCATGTGCAATAATCCCTATATACAGTTGCAAGGGGGACATGATAAATTGGTAAGTAAACTACTCATGTGCAATAATCCCTATATACAGTTGCAAGGGGGACATGATAAATTGGTAAGTAAACTACTCCTGTGTAATACTCCCTATATACAGTTGCAAGGGGGACATGATAAATTGGTAAGTAAACTACTCATGTGCAATAATCCCTATATACAGTTGCAAGGGGGACATGATAAATTGGTAAGTAAACTACTCCTGTGTAATACTCCCTATATACGCAAGGGGGACATGATAAATTGGTAAGTAAACTACTCCTGTGTAATACTCCCTATATACAGTTGCAAGGGGGACATGATAAATTGGTAAGTAAACTACTCATGTGCAATAATCCCTATATACAGTTGCAAGGGGGACATGATAAATTGGTAAGTAAACTACTCATGTGCAATAATCCCTATATACAGTTGCAAGGGGGACATGATAAATTGGTAAGTAAACTACTCATGTGCAATAATCCCTATATACAGTTGCAAGGGGGACATGATAAATTGGTAAGTAAACTACTTATGTGTAATACTCCCTATATACAGTTGCAAGGGGGACATGATAAATTGGTAAGTAAACTACTCCTGTGTAATACTCCCTATATACAGTTGCAAGGGGGACATGATAAATTGGTAAGTAAACTACTCATGTGCAATAATCCCTATATACAGTTGCAAGGGGGACATGATAAATTGGTAAGTAAACTACTTATGTGTAATACTCCCTATATACAGTTGCAAGGGGGACATGATAAATTGGTAAGTAAACTACTCATGTGCAATACTCCCTATATACAGTTGCAAGGGGGACATGATAAATTGGTAAGTAAACTACTCCTGTGTAATACTCCCTATATACAGTTGCAAGGGGGACATGATAAATTGGTAAGTAAACTACTCATGTGCAATAATCCCTATATACAGTTGCAAGGGGGACATGATAAATTGGTAAGTAAACTACTCATGTGCAATAATCCCTATATACAGTTGCAAGGGGGACATGATAAATTGGTAAGTAAACTACTCATGTGTAATAATCCCTATATACAGTTGCAAGGGGGACATGATAAATTGGTAAGTAAACTACTCATGTGTAATAATCCCTATATACAGTTGCAAGGGGGACATGATAAATTGGTAAGTAAACTACTCATGTGCAATAATCCCTATATACAGTTGCAAGGGGGACATGATAAATTGGTAAGTAAACTACTCCTGTGTAATACTTCCTATATGTATACAGTTGCAAGGGGGACATGATAAATTGGTAAGTAAACTACTCATGTGCAATAATCCCTATATACAGTTGCAAGGGGGACATGATAAATTGGTAAGTAAACTACTCCTGTGTAATACTCCCTATATGTATACAGTTGCAAGGGGGACATGATAAATTGGTAAGTAAACTACTCATGTGCAATAATTCCTATATACAGTTGCAAGGGGGACATGATAAATTGGTAAGTAAACTACTCCTGTGTAATACTCCCTATATGTATACAGTTGCAAGGGGGACATGATAAATTGGTAAGTAAACTACTCCTGTGTAATACTCCCTATATGTATACAGTTGCAAGGGGGACATGATAAATTGGTAAGTAAACTACTCATGTGCAATAATCCCTATATACAGTTGCAAGGGGGACATGATAAATTGGTAAGTAAACTACTCCTGTGTAATACTCCCTATATGTATACAGTTGCAAGGGGGACATGATAAATTGGTAAGTAAACTACTCCTGTGTAATACTCCCTATATGTATACAGTTGCAAGGGGGACATGATAAATTGGTAAGTAAACTACTCATGTGCAATAATCCCTATATACAGTTGCAAGGGGGACATGATAAATTGGTAAGTAAACTACTCATGTGCAATAATCCTTATATACAGTTGCAAGGGGGACATGATAAATTGGTAAGTAAACTACTCATGTGCAATAATCCCTATATACAGTTGCAAGGGGGACATGATAAATTGGTAAGTAAACTACTCATGTGCAATAATCCCTATATACAGTTGCAAGGGGGACATGATAAATTGGTAAGTAAACTACTCATGTGCAATAATCCCTATATACAGTTGCAAGGGGGACATGATAAATTGGTAAGTAAACTACTTATGTGTAATACTCCCTATATACAGTTGCAAGGGGGACATGATAAATTGGTAAGTAAACTACTCCTGTGTAATACTCCCTATATACAGTTGCAAGGGGGACATGATAAATTGGTAAGTAAACTACTTATGTGTAATACTCCCTATATACAGTTGCAAGGGGGACATGATAAATTGGTAAGTAAACTACTCCTGTGTAATACTCCCTATATACAGTTGCAAGGGGGACATGATAAATTGGTAAGTAAACTACTCCTGTGTAATACTCCCTATATACAGTTGCAAGGGGGACATGATAAATTGGTAAGTAAACTACTCCTGTGTAATACTCCCTATATACAGTTGCAAGGGGGACATGATAAATTGGTAAGTAAACTACTCATGTGCAATAATCCCTATATACAGTTGCAAGGGGGACATGATAAATTGGTAAGTAAACTACTCCTGTGTAATACTCCCTATATACAGTTGCAAGGGGGACATGATAAATTGGTAAGTAAACTACTCCTGTGTAATACTCCCTATATACAGTTGCAAGGGGGACATGATAAATTGGTAAGTAAACTACTCATGTGCAATAATCCCTATATACAGTTGCAAGGGGGACATGATAAATTGGTAAGTAAACTACTCCTGTGTAATACTCCCTATATACAGTTGCAAGGGGGACATGATAAATTGGTAAGTAAACTACTCCTGTGTAATACTCCCTATATGTATACAGTTGCAAGGGGGACATAATAAATTGGAAAGTTGAATTTTGGTACGTGCTGGCTCATTGGTAGTCTGTCAATTTTCCAGATGATTTACTGTAACTCTTAAGAGGGCATTTAAATCTGCTCAATTCTTGGATCCAATCTTGGAACTTTTAAATTTTGTAATTGAGATATTTTGTAGAGGTAATAAAATGAAAATGTTGTTAAAATTCGAGAAACGTAATCTTCCAGAGTCCAGATTTATACATAGAGATTCAAATCTTGAGGATTTATAGATCAGTCAAATAATCCATTACATTTGTTAGATCTACATCTCATACCCCCCCCCCCTTCCCCTTTAACAATATTAACTTTCAATATGTTTTCTTCCAGAGTGCAGATGCAGAGTCATTAGCGATGACAAGCATTCAGTCAAATAATCCATTATATTTGCTAGATCTACATCTCATAACCCCCCCCCCCCCCCTTCCCCATTAATAATATTAACTTTCAATATGTTTTCTTCCAGAGTGCTGATGCAGAGTCATTAGCGATGACAAGCATCCAGCTGGCATCAAAGTTTCTTTTCTCCGTGGGCTTTCATACAAAGAAAAATCTCAGGTAATTTCCCAATTTAAGTTATGTTTGAGTTGTTTAATTGAATACAATGAATTTTTCTATTAAGAGCCCAAATTTCCTGATTTTAGTGATTTCAACCTCGAGAATCATAAAATATATAAAATGAAAGGATACTGTTGTTTGAATTTGATTTTAATCTCTCTGAAAAATAGATAACACTGAACCAATCAGATTAGGAGAATCAAAATTCAGCTTTGATATCTTGAGTTTTTCAACATTTGTGAAAAAAAACAGTTCAAGCATAGGCGCATGTCTTTAATTTGGGTTTTGTAGTTTCTATGGAAACTAGTGTAATAATTTTGTAGTTTTTATGGAAACTAGTGTAATAAGCTTTATGTCCAATTACAGAGGTGCAGCTAATGAGTGGTACGACGCACTTAGTATTCACTTACGGCACAGTAAGACTGTACGTAACTGGTTCGCACACACAGTGCTTTTCAGCCACCCTACCAGGTTCTCTGAGTATCTATTAGAGTGTCCGAGTTCTGAGGTAAGATTTTTATAGCACCACCGCAATTGGGTGACACATTGTTATAAGTCTCCAACTTTTTTGTGGACTTTCTTCGGTGGTTGGTATTTTCATGTTAATGGCCTAATTTGAGAAATACAAGGTTTTTTAGCACAGGGCAACAAGAGAATAAATATTTATTTGTTATAACAAATCTGGTGTGGTTTTGATTTTAAAATTTCAATCTCCAATTTTTTTTTGCCAGTTGTTGCCTGTTTGTTGCCAGAATTCATATGAAACATGAATAATGCTCATTTAATATATCACAATTTTTAGTAAAAATCTGTAAATCTGTAAAGACATATTCCACTAAAATCCTCTGTTTTGGTTTTTCAGGTGCGAACAGCATTTATGAAAATCATTGTATTCCTGTCGCATTTTTCACTACAAGATGGCACATGTCCCCCTCCTTTAATGCCAGGTCTTTACAGTAAGTCAAACTTATGTAATATTAGCATTCACATATTAGCATTTAGAAAATCACCGTATTCCTGTCCCGTTTTTCACTACAAGATGGCACATGTCTCCCTCCCCTAATGCCAGGTCTTTACAGTAAGTCAACTTATGTAATATTAGCATTCATGAAAATCATCGTATTCCTGTCGCATTTTTCACTACAAGATGGCACATGTCCCCCTCCCCTCATGCCAGGTCTTTACAGTAAGTCAAACCTATGTAATATTAGCATTCACATATTAGCATTTATGAAAATCATTGTATTCCTGTCCCATTTTTCACTACAAGATGGCACATGTCCCCCTCCCCTCATGCCAGGTCTATACAGTAAGTCAAACTTATGTAATATTAGCATTCACATATTAGCATTCATGAAAATCATCATATTCCTGTCACATTTTTCACTACAAGATGGCACATTATGTCCCCCTCCCCTCATGCCAGGTCTTTACAGTAAGTCAACTTAAAGCAATACAGTGCGTATAAAAAAAAACGCAACAGATTGTTATCTCGGAAAAGCACAAAACCAGTGATAACAGCATTGATTTCACTGCCCCCAGGATTCCGTGTTTGCAGAGCGCGGACGGAATTTGCCTCTGCCCGCGGAATTGCAGAATCAACTATTTTGGTCAATTTCCGCGGAATTTTCCGCAGAATCCATATATTTTCCAAAAGTTTAAAAAGTCAGTCTTACCTGTAACAATTTGACACGTTTTCAGTCAAATCCCTTGCAGAAATAACCCAAATTATGCGAAGTGAAAATTCTAAACGCCATCGTTTGATTTCTGCCGTTAGATGGCAGCATGTATGTAGTGACTGAGACTGACTACCTGACTATCACGATATTTTCCCGTTTACTGGTTCGAAAACCATTAGTTTTTCTTTCGGTTCTCGTCAGAAAGTTAAACAAAGACATAAATTAATAACAGTTATTTATATTATTAAGTTATTGATCGAAAACTTCGAACTCCAATGAGATATTACACTTAAAACCTGATTTACATATATCGTGATTCCCATTATGCGGCCGATCCTCCGTGTTTGAAGTTTCGAAAAATGTGAAATTTGATTAATTACAGCATTTTCATGGAAATGGAACTTTCAGTGGTCAAATTTGTTTGTGGCAGGGTTTAACATGTAGGAATATGATTATCAAATCATGTTTTTAGAATATATGATACTGTTCTTGTTAAACCAATCTTGATTTTTTTATAATAACCGCAAAAAAATGCCGCGAATATCCGCGGAATTTCTGCAGAATTAGCCCTTTCTTCTTGCAGAATTCACTAATTTCACTTGCAGAATTGAGCATTTTAACTTGCAGAAAACTGGGGGGAGTGTGATTTCATTCAATGCACCAAAAAGCCATGTGTCTCCTCTTTACAATGATATATCATTCATTGATATTTGGTCATTGCATCCTTTTCATGCAATGTACCAAAAAGCCAAATTTCTCCTCTTTGTAATGGAATATCATTCATTCACAGGGAGTCATCTCTGGCCGAATAATCATTAATTTTTCAAAGTGGGGCAAAATTCAGCTGGGACCCAAGTTTTAAACATTGCAAAAGTCAGTACAATGGGCATAGGGGCTATTGGAAGAAGGTGTGATAGGTGTGGCATAGACAGTAAAGTGTTCATACTCATGCTCTTGCAAGAATACATCCTATACCCCTCCAAATTGCCACCACATAAATATGTACTCATCTGTCCATGTCGTGCATGGTTCAGCCCTGAGTCATCTGTGGGTTAAAGCAGAGAAAAGCAGCCCATGGGCAATTCTTTCTCAAGCTTTTGCCATATCTGGTGGAGGTATTGTGAGCACAGATGCTCTTGAGATAGCTCCAAAAGAAAAAGTCACAACAATTCAAGTCAGGGGAACTTCCATGTGCACTTAACCCCTGCACTGATTTTTTCAATATCTAAAACTTGGTACAGAGCCGATTTTGACCCACAGTGCAAATGGAAGGATTTCTCACCAACCATTACCACATGTGAATGAATGACATCATTGCAGACTTGGCTTTATGGTACATTGAATGAAATTGATGTAGTCATCATTAGTTTTGTGATTTTACGAGATATCTACTTGTTGCGTTTTTTTTGATACGCCCTGTATTACAATTTGCATCGTCTCTTGCAGATGTTTAATATACATCTGATTTATATTTGTATATTTCAGCGTCTGACCAGCCAGCTGACCCCAATGCCACTCTAAGTGACCACCTTCTAGTTGCAGTACTGAACCTTCTTAACAAGGAAGTGGCAGACCATGGGAGGCATCTGCCTCAATATTTCCACCTCTTCCTCATGTATTCAAACCTAGGCACTGCAGAGGTAGGAACTTGGAATACTCACTTAGAGGAAATAAGCTTGTACATGAATTCTGGGATACTATATCCCCCTCTTAATGCTACCAATTTAGTCTCTTTAGATCTTCTTGATTAGAATATTTAGGCCTCCTGGGTTCTCCATGTTTTATTTTTCCACCTTTGGAATATAGTCGTTCTGAGGTAAAATCTCATTCACAGTTGAAGACATCTAAAGATTCAAGGTTCTCCTTGGTGTTTTACAAGGTCATTCAGAAAGTTTAAGAAAACTGTAAAATATGGTACCGTAGATTAAAACAGTTCTGCATGGTACTGCGAGCACCTTACGGCACCATACACAAACAGTACTGCATGGTACCATGCTCTTATTTGACCGTACAGTACCCTGATTTCAGAGTGTGGATTTGGTGTGTAGCCTCTAATGATTTCTTAATTCTCTAATGTAGAAACAACAGCTGTTGAGACTAAACGTTCCCGCTACGTTTGTATTGGTGGCGTTAGATGAAGGCCCAGGTCCACCAATCAAATACCAGTATGCAGAGCTTACTAAGTTGTACTCGGTCGTGTCTCAGTTGATCAGATGTTGCGATGTTTCTAGTAGATGCCAGTCTTCAGTTGCTGTAAGTAAATTCATGAGGGTACAATGTTGTAAATGAATGCAAATTTATTATTGTGAATTTGGCATTATAACATAAGTTAATTTGGCTGTTATAATGTGATTTAATCAATGCAGATTTTGAGGGCATTATAATGTAAATTAATGAGGGTGTTTTAATGTGAATAATGCAAATTAATCAATGTAAATTAGGGGGGCATTATAACATAATTGGGATGTTTTAATAAAGAAATATAGACCGAAGAGCAGGGGTAATATTGTCGAATACACCCCGCAGGGCTAGGCACAGACGTTTTCTGTACCCCAAACGACCGAAGTGCCTAGCCCTAAGGGGTGTATTCGACAATATTACACCAGCTCTGAGGTCTATATTACGATTCGAACATGAAAACTCACCAAAATGTTTCGAATATTCAATATGGTCCGCCATTACAACGGCCCGCCGTTATGACGTCACATATTACACGTATTACCAGGGGTTTTGTTCGCGAATATACCCCGGGTGAAATGTTGACTTTGTTTACACTTTATAGAAGGAGTGAATACAGTCATGTTCGAATGTGTATTAATGCACATTTATGATCAAACTATTTCCCCAAGTCCCAAGTATGCAACATTAAACCCTTATGTTCTTACAGGGTCAGTCACCACAGCCTAATCCACATGGTGAACAATTACAAGGCCAGTCCCCCATCCCTCTACAAAGGGATGTTATAATGTGTATAAATGCATGTAAATTTCCTAGTCCCAAGTATGCAACATTAAACCCTTATGTTCTTAAAGGGTCAGTCACCACAGCCTAATCCACATGGTGAACAATTACAAGGCCAGTCCCCCATCCCTCTACAAAGGGATGTTATAATGTGTATAAATGCATGTAAATTTCCTAGTCCCAAATATGCAACATTAAACCCTTATGTTCTTTCAGGGTCAGTCACCACAGCCTAATCCACATGGTGAACAACTACAAGGCCAGTCCCCCATCCCTCTACAAAGTAAGGTGACAGACATCATATTTGGAAGGACAAGTTACGTCAAGAAACTCATCGAAGATGCCAACAATTCAGAAGAAACAACCAAGTTGTTGCGAGTAAGATTTCTGAAATAAAATTTGATTTTTCAGTCAACTAGCATGACCAATAAATATGTAAACCCCTATCAAAATATTAGGAGAATAACTATATTACAAATTTTATGCTTTTGATTTGGCAAATTTTCACCTTTTTGACATAAAGGGCTATTAACTTTCCAGGATTTTGATTAAGTTCAGTATCTGCACTTCATACATTTTCACCTCAGTTCAGCTCTACAAATGTTATACTTGCACCCTTGTGATCAGTGTACTTGATTGATTTCAAATTTTCGGGTATATTTCTTATGAATTTTCTGTCCTGAAAAATTATCTGTTCTATTCAAGGGTGTGATCTTGTTCACTCCTTGTATTGTTTTAATTTGCTAGATTTACTAAAAAAGTAGTTTCGTTTGGAATAATAAATAAATAAAAAAAAAGAAATAAAAAAAGATAAAAAAGCAGGCACCAGACTAAGTTACGGTACATTAATCTGATTTTTATGTTTATCACTAGAAGTGGTGACATATTTTCATAGTTGCCAATTTTTTGTGGATTGTGTTCGATGTCTGTAACAAATGACAGGTGGTGACATTTTGCATGTTAGTTCCTTGTTTCAAACTAACTCTATTACTGATAACCATGTTAATATATATTTATGTTATTATAAGTTTAATTTTTGTTTCCAGTTTTGTTCATGGGAGAACCCTCATTTCTCCTCTACTGTGTTAAGTGAACTTCTGTGGCAGGTTGCATACTCATATACCTATGAACTTCGACCCTACCTTGACCTTCTCCTACAGATGCTCCTTTTGGACGATTCATGGCAGAATCATAGAATCCATAATGCCTTAAAAGGAATTCCCGATGATCGGGATGGACTGTTTGATACAATTCAACGATCTAAGAGCCATTATCAAAAACGAGCGTATCAGTGTATCAAAATGATGGTCGCGTTGTTTACTCATTGTTTGCCAGCTCAGCAGATGTTACAAAGCAATGGAGATCTTAAAAGGAAGTGGAGCTGGGCAGTGGAGTGGCTGAATGATGAACTGGAGCGGGTAAGTGTCCAGGAAGATTTTCACGTTGAAAAATGGAACAAAATTGAAAATCTGCAAAAGTGAGAAAAATTTAAAGTTTGAAAAAGCAGAAAACTATATTTCAGTCTGCCAAAATTGTATTCATGTTTGAGAAATGAAAAAAATCAAAAATTCGAAAATGAAGGGAGAAACCATATTTTGTGTTCATCATCCTCAGCTGTGAAAACTAAGCTGCTATTATTATACAGTAGATCACATGTACAGGGTGTTCAATAAGTATTGCTAATTTTGCTATAACTTTTGTTCTGTTTGCCTTTTCTTCATGAAACTTTCACAACATAAGGTACATATATCTGACTTTATTCTATGGAAATGTCAAGACAATCCAATCAGTATTAACAAAGTTATGGTTACTAAGGTAACCAGTATCATGGATATGCGGGGCAAATTTCTGACGTCACTTTGGAGGATATGCAGTGCAGTTATAAATAATCCATTCCAGAGTCACTGCATGATCCATATTAACTTCATGAGGTGCTCAAAAGAGGCAGGCACCCTTAGCGTCAATTCACAGTTGCAGTCTGGCGACCCACTCGTGGTACACATTTTTGAAGCCACCCTTAAAGTGTGTGGCTAGGGAGGTGTTCACTGCAGACATCAGCTGATTGAGATTCTGGTGCGATATTCCTCTCAGATCCCTTTTCACTGGGGCGAATACAACAAAATCAAGTGGGGCCTAATCTGGGAAATATGCTGCGTGGGGCAATGCTTCCATGCCAAGCTCTGTTATTGTATTTAGGAGAATAGAGGATCTGTGAGCAGGGGCATTATCCTGGTGGACTGTATAGGTCGATATTGTTCTTTGAGGACGTTGAAGTGTGTGGCCAGGGATGTGCAGTGTTCACTGAAGACAACCGCTGGTTGAGATTCTAGTGTGATATTCCTCTCAGATTTCTTTTCACCACTGTTAGATAATACATATAATTTAAACTGACAACCATAAGATTTGACCATATCAACAGTTTTTATTCATCAAAGTGTTTATTTGATGTATAACAATAATTCATCATGTAAACCCTTAAGGTTGCCCCGCGTATCCGTGACAATGGTTACCCTAGTAACCATTACTTTGTCAATTTTAAGTCGGTTGTCCAGAAATTTGGATAGGATAAGGTCAGGTATGAGTTGCTCATGTTGTAAAAGTTTCATGAAGAAATATGCAAAATAACAAAAGTTATAACAAAATTAGCAATACTTATTGAACGCCCTGTATATGCAACACCCTCAGTCTGCCGAAATTTTTTCATTTTAGACAGGTGATCCTTACAAAGAGGGTTTCTAAATCTAAGTTAGTCATACTTGTTTTCATTAAATTGTTCAATGCATACAAGTGTTTCATATAGAGAGGTGTACCATCAGGCAGGTTTTCATTAAATTGTTCAATGTTTACAAGTGTTTCATATAGAGAGGTGTACCATCAGGCAGGTTTTCATTAAATTGTTCAATGTTTACAAGTGTTTCATATAGAGAGGTGCACCATCAGGCAGGTTTTCATTAAATTGTTCAATGTTTACAAGTGTTTCATATAGAGAGATGTACCATCAGGCAGGTTTTCATTAAATTGTTCAATGTTTACAAGTGTTTCATATAGAGAGGTGTACCATCAGGCAGGTTTTCATTAAATTGTTCAGTGTATACAAGTGTTTCATATAGAGAGGTGTACCATAAGGCAGGTTTTCATTAAATTGTTCAATGTATACAAGTGTTTCATATAGAGAGGTCTACCATCAGGCAGGTTTTCATTAAATTGTTCAATGTATACAACTGTTTCATATAGAGAGGTGTACCATAAGGCAGGTTTTCATTAAATTGTTCAATGTATACAACTGTTTCATATAGAGAGGTGTACCATAAGGCAGGTTTTCATTAAATTGTTCAATGTATACAAGTGTTTCATATAGAGAGGTGTACCATCAGGCAGGTTTTCATTAAATTGTTCAATGTATACAAGTGTTTCATATAGAGAGGTGTACCATCAGGCAGGTTTTCATTAAATTGTTCAATGTATACAAGTGTTTCATATAGAGAGGTGTACCATCAGGCAGGTTTTCATTAAATTGTTCAATGTATACAAGTGTTTCATATAGAGAGGTGTACCATCAGGCAGGTTTTCATTAAATTGTTCAATGTATACAAGTGTTTCATATAGAGAGGTGCACCATCAGGCAGGTTTTCATTAAATTGTTCAATGTTTACAAGTGTTTCATATAGAGAGGTGTACCATCAGGCAGGTTTTCATTAAATTGTTCAATGTATACAAGTGTTTCATATAGAGAGGTGTACCATCAGGCAGGTTTTCATTAAATTGTTCAATGTTTACAAGTGTTTCATATAGAGAGGTGTACCATCAGGCAGGTTTTCATTAAATTGTTCAATGTATACAAGTGTTTCATATAGAGAGGTGCACCATCAGGCAGGTTTTCATTAAATTGTTCAATGTTTACAAGTGTTTCATATAGAGAGGTGTACCATCAGGCAGGTTTTCATTAAATTGTTCAATGTTTACAAGTGTTTCATATAGAGAGGTGTACCATCAGGCAGGTTTTCATTAAATTGTTCAATGTTTACAAGTGTTTCATATAGAGAGGTGTACCATCAGGCAGGTTTTCATTAAATTGTTCAATGTATACAAGTGTTTCATATAGAGAGATGTACCATCGGGCAGGTTTTCATTAAATTGTTCAATGTATACAAGTGTTTCATATAGAGAGATGTACCATCAGGCAGGTTTTCATTAAATTGTTCAATGTATACAAGTGTTTCATATAGAGAGGTGCACCATCAGGCAGGTTTTCATTAAATTGTTCAATGTTTACAAGTGTTTCATATAGAGAGGTGTACCATCAGGCAGGTTTTCATTAAATTGTTCAATGTTTACAAGTGTTTCATATAGAGAGGTGTACCATCAGGCAGGTTTTCATTAAATTGTTCAATGCATACAAGTGTTTCATATAGAGAGGTGTACCATCAGGCAGGTTTTCATTAAATTGTTCAATGTATACAAGTGTTTCATATAATGAGGTGTACCATCAGGCAGGTTTTCATTAAATTGTTCAATGTATACAAGTGTTTCATATAGAGAGGTGTACCATCGGGCAGGTTTTCATTAAATTGTTCAATGTATACAAGTGTTTCATATAGAGAGATGTACCATCAGGCAGGTTTTCATTAAATTGTTCAATGTATACAAGTGTTTCATATAGAGAGGTGCACCATCAGGCAGGTTTTCATTAAATTGTTCAATGTTTACAAGTGTTTCATATAGAGAGGTGTACCATCAGGCAGGTTTTCATTAAATTGTTCAATGTTTACAAGTGTTTCATATAGAGAGGTGTACCATCAGGCAGGTTTTCATTAAATTGTTCAATGCATACAAGTGTTTCATATAGAGAGGTGTACCATCAGGCAGGTTTTCATTAAATTGTTCAATGTATACAAGTGTTTCATATAATGAGGTGTACCATCAGGCAGGTTTTCATTAAATTGTTCAATGTATACAAGTGTTTCATATAGAGAGGTGTACCATCGGGCAGGTTTTCATTAAATTGTTCAATGTATACAAGTGTTTCATATAGAGAGATGTACCATCAGGCAGGTTTTCATTAAATTGTTCAATGTATACAAGTGTTTCATATAGAGAGGTGCACCATCAGGCAGGTTTTCATTAAATTGTTCAATGTTTACAAGTGTTTCATATAGAGAGGTGTACCATCAGGCTGATTTTACTCTATAGTTAAATTGAAAAATAATTCAGTTTGTTTTATTCTCTCCTCAGCAAAGGCCATATTCCGGCAACAACCAATACACTTACAACAATTGGTCTCCACCGGCACAGTCCAATGAGACGTCAAATGGTTACTTCCTGGAGCGCTCCCACAGTGCAAGAGTGACCCTAGCTAAGGCATGCGAGCTTTGCCCTGAGGATGAAATTGAAGATGAGGGTGAGGGAGAGGAACAGGAAGTGGGCTGTCAACCTGCTGACCCTCCTGGTTTTACCCCCGAGCAGGAATCTTCTGTTCAGAATAACCAAGTGAGTTGGTCTGTTATTATACTTTTCCAAGGTGCTATATTGTTGTTGTCCTGTGTTACTAGGTGTGCACTCGATTGGATGCCACGTAAATCTTGTGATCAAAATTCCAGGAAAATTTCTTGCCTGTATAATAACATAGGTTGAATAAATAGAATAGAAATTGTAATTGAAACAATGTTTACCGTATTGCACAATTTTTCCAGGTGAACACTGGGACATATACCCACAATCCACCCAATCCCACCAACCAGATTAACAACCAATTAAATCAGCCGACACGGAGCCCAGCCACAACTGTACCAGGGAGAAGCTCTCCTGAGGAGGAGACTGGTGAACAACAACATATGGACACTACAAAAGAATAGCAGAATTCTAATAATTTGTGAAGTATAATTGAAAATGAATGAAGTTTTTATTATGGGATGTTGACAAGTGTGATGATTCCATGTGCTTTGGATTGGTTCCATGTTAAAGCCACTATTTATGAAATGGAATGGATGGAAAAGCAATATGACATCATACACTATTGTAACATCACAATTTGAGTGGATAGACCACTATGACATCACATAAAGAATGGATATACCACTGTGACATCACATAGTGAATGGATAGACCACTTTGACACCATATAATGAGTGGATAGATCACTATGACATCACATAATAAATGGATAGACCACTCTGACATCACATAATGAATGGATAGACCACTCTGACATCACATGATAAATGGATATACCACTGTGACATCACATTATGAGTGGATAGATCACTATGACATCACATAATGAATGGATAGACCACTCTGACATCATATGATAAATGGATATACCACTGTGACATCACATTATGAGTGGATAGATCACTATGACATCACATAATGAATGGATAGACCACTGTGACATCACACTACTGTACCCCCACTAATATTTGACACTATTTTATTTCACGTTTTTGTGATTGTTAAATTTCGCAGCTATTTTGGCTAATTTTCAGTTTTTTGGAATTTCACAGCTATTTATATTGACAGGTTTTGACTCATCAAAATTTGTCTCGCTTCTTATTTTGTGTTTTCCATAACTCGCGAAAAAATTGAAATAAAGTAGCACTCCAAAATTACTGCGAGTACAGTATGTCAAATATGAGGATTATCATGTGATTAGTTCACAGTGCTTTACATTCTACTGTTTTCATTATTTGATTCAAAACAGTTTAATGCACAAATAAACACAAAATACAAAGTGAGATACAGAATAAAAAAAATCTTATATGTAAAGATGGACTTTGAAATGTTAGAATTTGTTATTTAATTTTGCACAATGAGTGGATCATAGATTTTTCGACAATTCTATGTGTGTATATTAAAGCTTTATTGTCCAACGAATAAAGCCTATTCATTAAGTTACTTATTAATAGAGCTATTAAGAGACTAATATAATTTAAGTTACTATTTTGTATAAATGAGAATAGGAATATGTTTTTGTCGAAAGTGTGGAATATTTAATATGAAAAATGTAAATAGTACAATGTAAATAGCTTTCATATCACAGACTCTGCTTTAAATTGATATATATGATATACAGTATAGGTGATGTGCATTTGTCTAGTTGAAGTGCATTTGTCTAGTTGAAGTGCATTTGTCTAGTTGAAGTGCATTTGTCTAGTTGATGTGCATTTGTCTAGTTGATGTGCATTTGTCTAGTCGATGTACATTTGTCTAGTCGATGTGCATTTGTCTAGTCGATGTGCATTTGTCTAGTCTATGTGCATTAGTCTAGTTGATGTGCATTTGTCTAGTCGATGTGCATTTGTCTAGTTGAAGTGCATTTGTCTAGTTGATGTGCATTTGTCTAGTCGATGTGCATTTGTCTAGTCGATGTACATTTGTCTAGTCGATGTGCATTTGTCTAGTCAATGTGCATTTGTCTAGTTGAAGTGCATTTGTCTATTCGATGTGCATTTGTCTAGTTGATGTACATTTGTCTAGTTGAAGTGCATTTGTCTAGTCAATATGCATTTGTCTAGTTGATGTGCATTTGTCTAGTCGATGTGCATATGTCTAGTTGATGTGCATTTGTCTAGTTGAAGTGCATTTGTCTAGTTGAAGTGCATTTGTCTAGTTGAAGTGCATTTGTCTAGTTGAAGTGCATTTGTCTAGTTGAAGTGCATTTGTCTAGTTGAAGTGCATTTGTCTAGTTGATGTGCATTTGTCTAGTTGATGTGTTCATGGATATTTTTGTTGTTTCTCCGAAGTTTGAATGAAAACAGTTTTCTAGTTTCATGTGATTTTGTTCACTAACTATTATGGTAGATCAATCTAGTAAATCATGTCACCCTGTATTTGTCATTCTAACAGTGCCACCTATTGGTTGATGTCATTCTAACAGTGCCACCTATTGGTTGATGTTACTCTAACAGTGCCACCTATTGCCATGTCATAATGTACATATTGCTAATTTTCAAAAACTTGGAATTATTTTACAACATTTATGCCTGAAAACGATGACACCATGAACCTAAATGATATACCCTTAATTTTTCAGTCCACCAAAATCGGTCAGAATTAATAGGAAGGGTCTATTTATGCAATCCTTAAATGGTTTTCAAGCTTTGTCCACTTTGAATACTTTGAATGGTAAAAGCACATTCATAAATAAATTGGGAAATATTTAGCACATGTATGCAGATTGCTGAACTCTTATATGCGATGTACATGTATATTGAGAAAGTATTATTCTAATATTTTTTGAATATATCATTTTCTGATAAATTTAGTTATTTAAAGAACATCTATTATAATAATCACAAGAAACGAGGTCAAATTTTAAGTTAAGGAAGTGTCTTGTTAAAAAAAAGTTAAGTCAAGGGGAATACCTTTAACAATGATCCAATGAATTAATACAAAATTGACTTTTCAATGGACTTTACACTAAATGGACTTCACTCAAAATGGACTTTATGCAAAATGGACTTAAATGAACTTTATTCAGAATGGACTTAATGCAAAATGGACTTCAGGCTGAGTGAACTTCAGGCTAAATGGACTTTACACAAAATGGACCTCTTTAAGAGATATCAACATAGAACATTCCAGTTATACAAGTTTAACTGGTAATTAAACATTTTTCATATTCTGGCAAGAGGGAAGAGCTTATCCGATATGTAATTGCTTTGAAACATGTTGATTTGGCTTTGAAATGGTGCTCAACATTTTTTGTAACCATTATTCTGTTATTTCTGTTGCCTGTTTCATAAGTAGGTGAAACTTTTTAGCCACCCCGTGTGAGTACACACAAGCACCTGTTGTATATAGTATAATATAATATTATTAATTTTAATAATATATTACTGTAGAGAGTATGTTGAACTTAAGTGATGGTCAGGAAAATATGAAGGAACATGTGAAAAAAAATTAGCTTTATTTTTTCATAATTCAGAATTGTATGCAATAGGCTATTTACAATTTTTGTCTATGGCAATTCATTTGATAATATAAATTATAAATAAGCATAATTGTACAGTGTTGTATTATTAATGAGCTTAATTGTACATCAACTTGCTTAATGTACTATTAATGAGCTTAATTGTACATTGTTGTACTATTAATGAGCTTAATTGTACATCAACTTGCTTAATGTACTATTAATGAGCTTAATTGTACATTGTTGTACTATTAATAAGCTTAATTGTACATCAACTTGCTTAATGTACTATTAATGAGCTTAATTGTACATTGTTGTACTATTAATGAGCTTAATTGTACATCAACTTGCTTAATGTACTATTAATGAGCTTAATTGTACATTGTTGTACTATTAATGAGCTTAATTGTACATCAACTTGCTTTATGGACTATGTATGAGCTTTAAGTTGTAAAGGGTTTCTCTCAACAAATTAAGAAGCCTATTTCATCTCCAGAAAACCCTAATTTCCTATAAAGACAATGGCGCTAAAAGATTCAACTTTAAAGGTGTTTTATGTCCATGGGGTGTTATGTCTCTTTAGGCAGTAGTGTTTATTTATTTAGGAGAGAAGGCCAAATCAAACTTAACAGTATGGCTGGAAATTATCATTTAAATATAATCTGGGCCAAGTTGATGGTTTTCATGACATTTAAATGAATTTACTGAAGAAGATAAACCCCAATTAATTTGAAAACCCAATTTGAAAATCTTTGTTAACTTACAATTTAATTAGGCAGAATATGTTGAATATTCATGGGTATATTTCTCCAAACATTTTTCGACGGATTTTTATGTCATCTTTAATTATGACATCATGATACAATGATTATAAAAATGATGTAGAAATTTCTCAGATAACAATGTTTCAAGAAATTAACCCCCTGTTATTCATTCAAACTTTTATACAAAAGTACTACATGCATTGTACATGTAATTTCATATGTAGGTTCAAAGTACTACATGTAATTTCATATGTAGGTTCAAAGTACTACATGTAATTTCATATGTAGGTTCAAAGTTGTGCCACACCCCACTTTAACAATATATTAGCATTTCTACAATCCATGTAATGTGGGGGCAGTTGTGTAAATATCGATTTGTATCCCATTTTAAAATCGTAATTCATAAAATGTAAATATTATTATAGCAAATAAAGCTTTGTACATGCTACTAAATGTAGGATATGTGTACACTTATTGTGGAATGCAGTATTTCAAACAAATATAATTTGTTTTGTTGTTTTTATTATAATTTATATTATCCAAGAGGGGGAGAAACCCCCAAGGTTCAAAGATGACATACACTTAAAATATAAATCTTTATCCTATGCCAAGTAGAGTTTTAGGGAGATAAGTTGGTAAGATATATCCCATATCTTGATTTTGAGGTTTCCATATCCAGAACCTCCATATCTCCCGCCATATCTCCCGCTTCGGTGCATATCTTCCCGCTTCCGGTAATTTCACTTCACAATTATTTTTTCAAAATTTCTTTTTCAATTTAAAAAATATATATATTAAAATTTTTTGGATACATTTATCCTTTTGTTATATTGTTAAACAACACTTTTGTATTTCAAAAAGTTACCAATGTATTTAAAATTTAAAAGTGGAAATGCAATAAAATGACTATGCCCCTGAAAACTCTACTTGGTATAGGATAAAGCAGTTATGTACGGTCGGTTTGGATATTGGGTTCATCCCTCGTGAGATATGCACATCTACCTTCGGTCCCTATGGTCCCTCAGGTAGATATGCATATCTCCCTCTGGATAAACCCCATATCCAAAACCTCCCAGTACATAACCCTTATGTATTGAGATGACATCGTCGCAGATTGGTTCAGCGAGTCGATCATTGATTGGTTTAAAACTAGGTCAATTCGAAAACTTTGAAAACCAAGATGGAGGATATAGGTACTTCTGGGAAAGGAGGTGAGCGAAGGGGGAAATTGTATGTCATCAATTGAATCATTGGGTTTTCCCTCCTCTTAAATTATCCCAACCTTACAAGGCCTGTGCTTTACTACTCGTTTAGAAGTCTTACATTTTAGTATTATTAATTTGACCAATAGGTGGAGCCATTGTCCCAGGCCGTAGTGGTCATTATGA